AACTGAAGCTGTTGATATTTTTCACATTAAAAATATTAAAATATTAACTATATTGGAATTCTTTTAAAATTTGAATTTCTCTTTGAATCAATTACTCCATGAAAAAATACAATTGGAAAATAAAATGTTCCTATTGTTTAGCCTTCAATGTTTCTGATTATTCGAAACTTAATTGTCATCATGACTCAAGGTTAAGTTTTCGAATCAGTTCATTTTTCAAGGCAATATACGAAGCGAAAACCAAGGCTTTTGTTATGTATGAAGTTTGCTGCTTTCGGTGAGGGTCTCAAAACTCTCAATAATGCCTTTGAAACCTTCTTGCAAATCCTGTGCCTTATTGATCTTCGCATTTGCGCAGAAGAAACGTCTTTTTATTCCATTATTGAATGTCAATGCGTTCGTGATAGACGGGTCTTGATTAACCCGTTATATGACCAAATACCGCAAAATTAAACACACGCTTGATTTCTTGCATGTCAAAGATCTCGTGATGTAGCGAAGTTGATATTCTCGCCGTTTCATCTCTCAAGCGGGAATATATAACCTAATTTCTATAAAAAGTCACGTGCTAGAAAAAAGTTCTATAGGAACAAGATTAAAGACCGCTCGCACTTGTCTCTTTCCCGACAACATAAGCAAAGGCCTTCTACGAGTTCTACCGTATATCACCTCCGGAAAGAAACGAGGGTTTGTTTTTAATTGCCTCATTTAATGAGTTCCCAGCGTGGTCCTTCTTACATAAAACTCGCAATACGGACGCGAAACGTGCTCAAACACGTGAGTCGGGTGTCGTTTTTGAACAAGGGCAACGTGATATGTGAGTAGTATGCAGTATATGTGTGCCTACGTGTGTCGCCCCCTCAAATGCCGGCTTTGATTCGGTCTGTGTAGAATGGACCCTTTTCTTTTATCCTCTTCTTTTTTTTTGCTGCTGCTACTGGTGATGATGAGCCTATAGGGAGAGGACACTGCGATTCAGCTGGGTTGAATAGAGTCTGAGAGGTGAGGGTATTATTCGGTCTCAATCCGCGCGGATCCCTGTCGGGTCTTTCTTCGCAGAGTTTTCGACGAACCACCGATCAGGTTATTGGTCTTGATTTGACAGCGCTTGTAATATTCGGCCACTCAAATGCACTCTTACTGAATCTATTATAACCGATGCACGTGTACAGCAGATTTCAGCTAGGTTCAGGTGCATGGGAAAAAGGGGGGGGGGGTTGCATGCTCCAGATTTGCATTTCTGGTTCCCGTTACCAGAACGGATATTTTCCGAGATGAAGTGTTGCTATGCGAAACATGATGCTGCTCTAGTTTCTATAATTGAAAAAGTATTGAATCCATTCCACAAACTCGGAACAATACTTGCTGATGCATACATAGTCTTCGAAAAGCTGCCATTTATTGAAAAGAAATTGAAGCACTGTAACTGTCTAGTCCTATAATCCTGGAATATTTGTTTATTTACAGCATAATTGTGATCTTGTAGACTCAAGTACATTACTAGCTGTTCTTGCTTGGGGCAATACTAAATCATTACTATTTGCATCATCTAACATCCCTTTAATACATGATACTGTAGCCATTTTAACAAATTCATGGCACTTTAGTAAAAAATTCATCCAATTCTCAAAGGTTTCTAAGTGGTGTAACTCCTGCAGCATAAATACATTAGTATGTGCATCACCAGAGCACCTTCTCTTCTTATGTCCAAAGCCCATTCATGAATTATGGTAGGACTGCGCAATGCATATTTCGTAAGTGGGTAGCAATGCATTGTGAAAATTTCTTGTCATATCAGTGGTTCAAGCTTATCAGTAAAAGGGAGGGGGTTTGGATGCGGGAGTTTTGGTTGTGCCTTGTGAACGCTGAAAAGCAGCAAATAAAGTTTTCTGTTCATTCATTCATTCAGCATATTTTTTTTATTATCCTCGAAAATGAGTTAATTCTATACAAGATTTGCAATGGGTTTCTAACTTTCTACAGACAGAACATAATTTGTTGAACATTCATTTTTCAATGAGCCAGTATGTTTTAGAGTGAACACATGATTTTAAAAGAAATGATTGAAAGCATTGTGACGTTTTCAGAGATATTTGTGTGCCTGCATTGTTTTGGTAGGTTACGATAAGAGGAATTGGTGAGATTTTTCCCTGTAACACAAAAAATTTATATTTTCTCTTACCAAGACGCTTGCAAATAAAATAAAAAAACAGAGATGTTCTCAATCTTCTTCACAAATACATTGAAGTTTAGTAGATCACATGCTGAATCACCCTGTATTTTAGCAGTACAGGATTTGTCATCTGCCATGTTAGAAAGTTTCGCAATACATGGTGGAATTTAATTGCGCGCGAAAGTACCATCCACGTAAACTTTGTCGACTTCAGTGGAATGAATCTGCGCTGGTTGTTCTGTTTTGTTCTGTTACTATACATCATTGGCCTGACCTGACCTGATTTCAAACTTCCCAATGCCAGGTAAAAAATGAGAATCCCGGGAGTTGAAGGATACGTGAAGTTATTGTTTGATTTGCGACGAGGTCAACACTGCATCTTCAAAAGAAAGAATCATTGTTTTCAAGCAGCAATTTTGACAGATAAAAAGAAGTACAAGAAATCTTGTTAGGCATGAAGCTTTGATGCGTTTGCGTGGTGTGCTTTCTTTTCCCCCAGTCTCTACGTATAGAAAAAAAAACGCATTTGGATTCACAAGTCCGCAAAAAAAAACACTAACGTGAGACTCACGAGGATGCTTCATTTTACGCGGAAGCTCCTTGAATTGATGAATGTCTTATTCTCCTCTGCCTCTTGAAAAGCGTGAAGATTTCTTAGTCACGTGTCACCGTCTCAACAAGTTATTGTTAACAGTACATACATATATATTTTTAGCTTCATCTGAAATGACTATAACAAGTGTTATTGGGAATTTGGGAAACACATTTTGTTTGAATAAAAATATGACAGATTTACACTCATGAATCAAATGTTTGCTGTCTAACTTGATGCAAAGTTATTTAGGAAACACTTTTTAGGAATCTTGTGATTGTCAAAAATTGCTCAGAGAAAGATGCATTCAAATACTGTATATGTATTTTGTGATTTTCTCCTTTCCTTCGCAAATTACTGATAGTCTGAAACTGTTTCCAGCAGAATGTCAGGTAAATTTATACATGCGGACTCTCTACAACGATTTTGAGTGCAACAATATTCTCTGCAAAACACTTTTTCCTGTCCCATATATACTGTACAGTTCTTTCCCCATGTTATAAAGAGTTCTCTACAATCACATTATCTCTACAACGAATTTTTCTGTCCCTTGAATTTCATTGTAGAGAGAGTCCTCATTTATATGCAACTGTTGAATTATTAGCAATGACGCGGATATTCGCAGTTTTTTTGATTGAAAAACTGATTTTATACCTCTAATTTTGCTTTTGAAAAAACCTTCTTGTATGACGGTATTTTCACCCTTGTTCCTCCGCAACTGTTCAAGGCAGACAGAGTTGCAAAAAATTGTAATAAGTCTCAAACTTATTAAAAATTGTATCTACTACTGAATGTTTGCATTCAAAGGCTGATTTTCTGGGAAATGAATTATGGTGAAGTGACGATATACGGTATTGTGAGGCATGCAAATTTTGATGTTCTTTCTCAGAATATTGTATATGCATTTCTTCTTCAAGAAATTTGGCTTGAATCAATGTTACAAATAATGTTCGGTTGCCATAATTATATGATGCAAAATACAGAACAAAGGGAATTTTGAAAACGAGGCTAATTTGCGTCGGCAAGGTTTTAATGAGCTTGCAAAACTTATCGGCGAGGAAATCGATGTTCATTCGTTATACATCCCTATAGAACTTATTTTTTATTATCGCGTCTCGAAATAATCATCTCGACGAAGCTTTTTCATCATATAGAAAAAGCTTCCAGACATCAAGATTAAATGTAAATGGAGCACATTTATTCGATTTCAAGCAGTGATTCATGGACAGTATTTTTGATGAGTCAACCGAAGACAAATTTAAGGCGCCAATTTTCTCACTTACTTATCGTCATAGTTACGTAGTGATTACTCGCAAAAGAAAGAATTATTGGGAATCATTATCCGAGAAAAAATTTATTCCAGTCATGACTCATAAGCACGGATGCGTTATCTCAACCGGAAACTTTCTTTTTTTCATTATCGTTAATCTTGGCATGAATTTCTTTCTGTAAATACTGCATCTTAATTGGCTTATTTCACAGTGATGTGCTCTGTCATCAATCCAAGAAACCCGTTGATGAATGAAAGGGGTAAGTGCCAATACTGTACCCGAATCCCCGCTAATGGCGCAGATTGACGATATTCTTACTGTATTTTCTAAAGCTGAAGTACTGCACATTTTAGGAAATATTTCTTGACTTTCTTCAACTGATGAGCGATATCGGCAATTTGAAATTTGGTGAAATAGGAAATTCCTTTTTCAGACAATTCAGCATCAAACACCTCAGTAAATTTCCATGAATCTCCACAAAAATTTTTTTTTCCATTTTGGTTGTACAAGAAGCACTTATAGGTGCGGCCAGGAATTCATTCTCATATGACGAATTACTGAACCTTACGTATGAAATTATAGTTTCAGTTTTAAGGGTCAAAGGCTTTCAAAAACATTGCATTTCATTTATTCTCAGTCAGCCAAACATAGCTTTTTATTTTTTTTTCTTCTCGTCGGTATGGGAATTTTACCGCGTCAAGTAAAGTAAAATATACTACTTAGATCTGCTTCTTAGTACATCTACTTGAGTACGATGCAAACTCTAAATCATAATTGGAAACACTATTCACTCGAAACAGGGGCACGCCTCTTCAGTGGGTGAATGATTTGACCAGATTTTCCAAATAAAAATTGAAGTTGAGCTTATTCTTACGCACAAGGGCGCGTGGAACTCAAGCTAATATGGTTTCATATTGTAGGAGTCCACAATGAATCCTAAATATTCATGAAGAAATGCAGGGAGTAAAAAATAACGTGCGATTTTATTTCCCCAAAAATTTCGTACTAGCAGCAAACAAGACCAATCAGATTCAACATATCAAGGCAATCACAAAACTCGTTTCATCGGAACGGCGGAGTTTTAGGAAATTTCAAGCTCGCGGCGCTCTCTGATAACTTATTTATGGACATACAAAAGCAAACATGTTTATAGTGATGAAGCGAAAACAGCGGCGATATACAGAACCGAAGTTCATCAACAAAAATTCCCGTGAGAACAAACTCACGTTTCCAATTCACCACTTAAAAGAGAAGCCGTGCAAAAATGTTGGCAAACTTTCGAGAGGAGAATAAAACCACAAGGAAGATAAAAGCAGTTTTGACACGAAATTCTCGCTCAATAAGATTCACAAATTTTTTTGTTTTGGTAGCACACGAGAGGGTTTCATTCCGAAAGAAAACATAAAATCAAAGGCTTCAACTCAATAACTCACATTAAAAGATATTCACTTGCGATTTACTCATTCCATTGACACACTTATTCGAGTTGATGATGGTGTCGTGAATGATGGTCGCATTCTTTTCGATCAGGGAAGATACGCATGTGAAATGATCCCCTGCCAATTCATGCAAAGACACGGGTTCCTCACAAACCTTAAAAGGTAAATTTACAATTTATTAGCCTCAGGCGTTTTTCTCACAATTTAAAAAAATTCATCTTACCTCTGAAAGATTGTAATCTTCGGATAATTGTGATTTGGCTTCGTTTTGTGCGGCCTTCAGGAGGGTTACTTTGCCAGAATATTTCTTCGCTGGTTGATAATTGAGTCCAGCCAATAATCTGTCCCCAAAATTGCCAACAACCTTCTCCAGGTCTTCCATACTCGTTTCCACACCAACATCACCCACAGTTTTGCGGAGCAGCGTCAGCATAGCTTCCCACGACTTTTCCGCCAACATAGCCGACCTCATCTGTTGATATTTTCGAAAGAAAATCATTTTTAAAATTTCGAAAACAGCTCAATTTGACATTAATTTCCTCTTGCCCATCTCAAAATAAAAATTCTGAAGTCTAAAAATGCGTAGAACACCAACGGGTGAAAAAATATTTTAGCTCAACTCGATCAGCAAGTGCAGCCCGAAAAAACAGGATCGTGGAGAAAATGGTTGAATGTAATACGTGTCATTCCTTCACAATAGTCTCAACATAGAGATAAAGGTGTCCAAAAATAATTTAGCACTGTCTGTGAAAGACAAGCTGATTATTAGTCGTCCCTATGAAAAATTGTCTTTCGTGGATCGATACCGCCGACAGTCAAAAAGGCATCTCGCCAGAATATCTGCTTTCGGATTCCCCCTGCGAAAGCATCAGCGTGATTGTTTACGACATACGAAGTCGAATTACAATCGCGTAAATCGATATTTCCCAAATTTGAAAAAACACAGGAAAATCACCACAAATTTCGATCCATTTCTGCACACGTAGCTTCAAAAATTTTAAATTTACGAAAAATACAGACGTTGGCACATTCGCATTTTGAACACCTAATCTTGACGGTATCATTTACTGCAGTCATTAATGATGATTGATGTCTAATCATCAATGCTCGCAATCACGAAAAATTTTCATAATAACCTTTCAATCTGGCTGAACAGTATTACGGTAAAAAATGCTATTTAAATCCGGATTAAAAGCAGACCAGCAATATCCACGAGTCTCACAAACCTTCTCGATATCAAATCTGGCAAATTGAGACAAGAAGGCGCAAATTTGGGACGCCTGCCATTCTTCATTGTTATCCAGGCGATTGATGTATCGTTTCGTCAATACAGACAAATACGCGTGAGATCCGTCAATCAGGATGACCCGGGGAATCTGAGATGCCCCGAGTTGCAAAGCAATTTCGAAGGCAACAGCTGCCCCGTAAGAATAACCCACGAGTTTGTAAGGGCCAGTGGGCTGAATCGTTTTAATGACCTGCGAATCAAAAAATATTTATGAATAACAAGTCAGCTCAAAGATTTCACAAAAAATCAAACTCCGATTTGACAAAAATGAAATAATATGCAGGATTTAACTCACAGCAATGTACTGTTCGGCGATTTTCTGCAAAGAAGTAGAGCTCAGTTTCAGCGAGGCCTGGAAAGCGTAAACGGGGCATTTGAATGTCTTTGCCAGCTTCTCCAGGGACTTGGCAGAGCCCTCGATCGGGGGTAGAAGAAAAACCGGGGAATGCAATTTGTCAGCGTCGTTGTCTGGGGCGAATTCCACCACAGTGTCACATGACAGAAGCTCCTTCACAACCAAGGGCTTGATCATAGTGAGAGCGTGGACAGTATCTTCTTTGCTGCAGCTAGAAAAAATAAAAGTACAGATTACTTCAGTCCAACTGTCCAAGTGCATGTTCTTTTTATTCCAGATATTCTTCAGAAAAGTATTCAAATAAAATTTTAACCCTAATAAAAAATGTAAAAAGGCTTCAGCTCAACTACCATTAAAAAATATTAATTTACGGTTTTCTCATTCAACTTCATTCAATTTTTATATGTTTCGGAACAGCATCAGAGAAGAAAACCTTTTCACAGACTCTTATCAAACTTCAAGAACATTTACTCGTGCGTGCATATAGTGAACGTTCATTTCATTTATAAAAAAAAGGAAAATAAACTTTTTGGCATGTTGAGTTTTGTTTTGCAAACATTTCTTCTTCGCAGCAATTTCATAGATTCGGCGCTGAATGAAATATCACAAAAATGATGGTTGCAAAATCAAGAATGTCCAAAATTTGATTGTTATCCGCTTGAATTAGCCAGCTGTGAGGACAGAAGTTTCATTCGCCACACTTTTTTCATCCAAGTGCTATGCAATATTTGAGATATTGCACTAAAATTTTCTTTTTCTACTGTATGTGCCATCAGATCTGAGAACCATGATATTCCATTTAAAAAGTGTTCACATATTTGCAATAGTTTTCTAATTATATCTAATATTTAAAGTTTTTCCTCTGAAGACTATTTGAGGATTCCAAAAAGAGAAATTGATGTTCAAAAAATCCTCACAGATGGAACGAAGCTTTTTTTGAACTCGAAGTGCTTTGAAGGATTCTGATCGAAAACCGTTTTTACAAAAAAATGAACTGAGAGGTAATGACAAAACTTTTCATGGAACAAAACTACCAACTTGATAGACAATTCATTAATTTCAAATACACTGTATCTCATAATTTGCGGAAGCCTGGGAATATGTAAATGAAATGTGCGTTTCGTTTTCCCCCATCATAAACACAAAACATTGAAAAAATTCAATCGGAAAGTGGGAAAAAACTGTATATTACCTATTTTTGACATCTGCAGCAGCAGGGTCTGTCTCATTCTGACCGCCGCTCTGCAGCTCCGTCAACTGGGCGAAGGTCAAGTGCCGAACCTCGGCCACGCTCAAGTTCAAATCGCATTCGCGTTCAAGCGCTTGACGAACTTCGACACTCATGAGTGAGTCCATTCCGAGGTCACCCAGGGTCACGTTTTGCTTGATGCTGCTCGGGTTTGACAGGCCAATGATCTTGGCAATCTGTTGACAAATGTCGACCTTGTCTCGAGAGCCGGATCCGGTAGATCTTTCCTTCTTTGCCCACACCGTAGACGCTGCCACAGCTGCGCTTTCCGCTTTTCTGGACCTGAAAATGTGTCCCAGACATTCCCGTTTTCAACAGATGAATCCAAGCGTCAGTTTCCTCCACTTCAATGTTCAGTAGTTTACTGTACAGTACATAACTTCAAAGGTCGTCCAAAAAGTTACTGTCCTGCGTTGAAGCACGCGATCGAGAATTTAAAAATATAAAAGCAAAAACGAAGCAAAGAATACATTGGAAGCGACAGATACATTTTCTAAAAATTTTAGAACAATTTCCTCTTAGCTTAGGGTATTTTGATGGTGAGAAAAGGAAAAAAGAGGTTATTATAATTTATAAAGGTATCGTTAACATTGCTACAGCTCAAGCAAATAAAAAGACTGAGAAACAAATGATACTTCAGATGAAGTCAGTTTTAAAACAAATTCAAGTGTGATTGCCAAAGATATCATCCCAGAGAAAAACAAGTTTTTATCACAATGGACATATCAGGGAAAATCATCATCCGGATAATGGATAATTATTCTTAAGAGAAATCACCATAGGGATAATGGATAATTATTCTCAAGATAAACTTCACCTTATAACTTATATGATCAAGTATCAAAATTCGGAAGACAATTTCCTCTTATTTGATTGTTCACAATACTCAAAGTCGCGAGATTTTAAAGGAAACCCATTACGCAACAATACTTTCATCAACAAAATTACTTCTATAAGTTTGGGGGAATATTGTTGACACTGCTTACCAGCAAAGCAGACTTTCTAAAGCTTGCAAACACGACGGAATCCTTTGAGGAACATCAAAGTCGCGAGATTTTAAAGGAAACCCATTACGCAAAATACTTTCATCAACAAAATTACTTCTATAAGTTTGGGGAAATTTTGTTGACATTGCTTACCAGCACAGCAGACTTTCTAAAGCTTGCAAACATGACGGAATCCTTTGAGGAACAGTTCCTCCAACGATCGTCTCATTGTCACCAAGTAGATCCAAAACCACACCAACATCACCAATCGCTCCCCATTGAATCGCCAAACCTTTTTAATAAGAATAATAATAAATCATGATTTTCCCAAGGAAATGTCCCAAGTCTTGCTCAACAAAAATAAAAAATCCGGGTCAGCATGAATATTCCTACTACACTAATCATAAAACAAGCTCCGGCAGACCAAATATCAAACCAGGAATTATTTACATGACTTTTACAGAAAAATATTTTCAGATGACTGAATTGACACGCTGGATCGGGAACTACTGGTATTTTACAGGAAAAGGCAAATAAGTTATTTAGGAATAAAAGACCAACCTGGGAAACCATCAGCTTTCCGTTGCTCGCAAATTCTTTCGAGCACAGAATTCGCCAGACCGTAATTGGTCTGACCAGCATTTCCTCTTCCACAGGAAACGGAAGAAAACGCCACGAAGTGCTCCAAGGACGAAACATTCAGACTCCTTGTAACTTTATCCAGGTTGATGAAACCTTCTGCCTTTGGTTTGTAAACTTGCCTAAATTCATCATCCGTCTGATTATCCAAGATTCCATCCCTGATGACAACGGCCAGGTGGAAAATGCCCACCAATGGGCCGATATTCTGGCAATACGAAACGAGTTCCTCTGCTCCAGCGAGTGTAGTGACATCTGTCGTAGATATGAAAATCTTCGCTCCCAGCGACTCTAGCGTTGAGACGGCGCGTCGCTGGAAGCCGGTTCTCACGCCGCTTCGCGAAGTCAACACGATGTTTCTCGCTCCTTTGTTCACCAGCCAAAGTGCTAGTTCAAGTCCAAACCCACCAAGGCCTCCACTGATCAGATAAACCGATCTCGAGTTGCAGTACATCCTAGGGAGAGCCAAAACAGGCATGCTGGATACCTGGTCTTCGGGTCTCACCTCGAGCACAACTTTCCCCATGTGTTTCCCGCACGACATGAATCGAAACGCAGCCTCAGTCTGATTCTGTTCAAACACCGACACCGGCAGAGGCTTCACAACCCCGGAATCCAGTCCTTTTTGCACCAATTGGACCACAGCTCTCTTTTCCTCGTCAACGTCAAACAAGGCATCCAGCAGGATGCCATGGAATGTGATGTTCTTGAGGAAGAACGCCATGCCAAGAGGCGTGTTTTCCGAAAGGTCGAATTTTCCGATCTCCAAGAAAGTGCCGTGTTCAGCGATGCATCGCACTGTGGCCATGAGTTTATCCCCAGCCAGGGAATTCAATGCCATGTCCACACCACGTCCATTCGTCTCCCTCATGATCCACGTCTCCAAGTCCACCGCGTCTCTCGAATTCCCAATGTTCTCGTCTTTCAATGCCGGGAATCGTTCTTTGAGGAACTGGCGCTTTGTCGAGGATCCAACAGTCGTGTAAACCTTGCAGGACATGGATAAAGCGATTTGAATCGCAGCTTGACCCACGCCACCACTGCCAGCATGAATCAAGACTGATTTCCCAGATTTCAAACCACCACGAACAATCAACGCGTAATACGCAGTGGCGTACACCACGGGGACCGAAGAAGCATCTCTCAAGGTCCAGGAATCCGGAACAGTCCACATGAAAGTAGGGTCAGCAAGGACCTTAGTAGCTAAGCCCTGAGCAGGCACTAGACCCATGACGCTGCGGTTTTCAACAGGGTCCTTTCCTGCAAATTCAAGCCCCAAGACGCATTCTTGAGTCGCTAGGTTGCCAGGAAGGGCATCTGGAGGCAGCTTCCCCGTCGCCAGCATAATGTCGCGGAAGTTCAACGGGGCATAGTACACATCGCACAACAACTCCGTAGGTTTCGGAGTCACAGAGCCGACAGGAGATTCAACCCACGTTAAAGATGACAAATCTCCACGCACGGCTGCGTTGAGGAATGCGTGTGCCACCGGAACCGTGGCTTGAGAGTCTGTGATGTCGAAATGGACATAGGTTCCGTGGATCCATTCGCCACGGTCTGATTTCGCGACAACGTTGAAAGCAAGGTCTTTGGATAATATTTCTCGTTCAAGGTTCTGAGGCAAGGCTTCTGCAGTTGTGTTGAAGAGACAACGGGTGTTTTCTAGACCGGGTTCTTTTCTGATACAGGTTGTGAGGCCGACGATACCGTTGCTGACGTCATTCTCTGCTGACAACCACAGGCGCACGTTCTTGTCTTCCAGCAGCAGTTTCGCGGATGCCTTCAGTTCCTCCACCCAGGTAAAGCTGACGTGATCTGTGACGTTCAGGTGGGTTGTTTGAATGGGCATCGCATTCGAAGCCTGTTGATGGAAAGCGTGAGTCATCATGAAACAGGTCATTCAGAACATGAAAAGATCAATTCTAAAAAATCATGATACAAATAAAGCGTGATAAAAAATAAAATAAAAATGTATCCAACAAAACATTCCAAAAATTACCTTAAGTCATTCCGGTAGGTTCAAAACATTTTTTAATGATTTTTGCACATAAACATTCAGATTGTTCATATCAAGGAACGCATACTTCGGAAATTTTTGGTGGAATGTATATACGACTCAAGACATGAATTCAAAAACTGAAGCCATAGAGAAAATTTTTTTCATTACAACTCATTCATTATCTTTGTTTAAAGAATTCTGAAAACTGAGAACACGACAAAATTTCTTGAAAGTAGAATTCGCAGCTACTTTGGACGACTGATTTCTTTTGCATGCAGTGCTCATGATCAATTGAGATGGGAATAGGAAATACATAAAATATACATTCCATCAGTGTAAACCATAGCAAGTGGTATTTCTCCAGTTATGTGACATAATACTGTATACGTGCCTTTCTCAGAAGGTGAAGACTGCTTTTTCCATCAATCGAACGCTTCGCGATGAAAGAGAACTTGTTATTGACCACCAAGTCTGAACCAGAATCTTGGATGAGGATGAATCCTTCAGGTGAGACACTATTCCAGATCTTTTCTGGCAGCTGTTGAGGACCAACATCTTCAAGAATGACGAGATCATATTTATCAGCGGGCAGCTTTGCCACCGACACTACAGAAACTTCAGGATTCTCAAATCCTTGCTGATCAGTGATAGCCACGCATTCCACCTGTAATAAGAATGTAAGAAAATTATTCCACATGTACTTCAAGGTTTTAAATTGTCCTGAAACGAACTGTTCACGAAAAAATGAGGACTCATGCATAAAAATATTAATTTACTGAATAACAGAACGCTTCGAAGTCGGAAGAAAAATCGAAAGTTACAACTTCGCGGAGGGGAAAAATGTATCATACCCCAAAGCGATGGAAATTTCAACCGAATAAAAATTCAAATAAAAAACAGCCTTCAAAAAGAAAAAAAAAATCTACACCAATTCCAGTTGCGCATTTTGTTTTAAGCTTCAAAATCACAGGACTAAATCGAAAATTGCCAAAGGAATACAATAAAGTTGAGTCTACTGATATCTCTAATCCTATCTGGTATATATGGACTAGAATTTTTTTTATTCAGCCATTTTCCAACTCACCATCAATGGCAGTCGGTCAGCAACTCTCTTTGCCCGCAGTGCCATGAAGTTATCTACACTCCCAACATTAGCACCTTCCAAGAACGCTTGGGCAAAAGTCAGCTTCGATTTTTTGCTGTTCTGAAGAACCACTTCAACCATAGCTCTTTCCGCCTTTCCCGTTGAAATCAGTTCTGAGGAAGTGAAACTGAAGAAAGAGCTGGATTCCAGAGTTGGAGGCCCATGTGCAGGTGGGCGCCTGGCTGCCACGTTGCACTTGATTCCCTGAAACTCGATTCCTCCTGATGCACAGACTTGAATGCAAGTGTCATGGAAAGCTAACAATTCTGGAAAAGAATAAATGAAACGAGATGTTTTTCAGTTAATTTAGTCATCCAGATGAGCAGCTCATCTTCAAAAACGCGTTTCAAGTCCATGTCATTGGACTGAAAGACAGACATGTCGCCTGAATCACTAACCCGACTACTATACAAGTTCAGGCTTTAAAAACTCAAGCGACACCTATGTATGAGGGTTGTCCCACTTGGCGCGAACTCCGTTATTTTAGAAGAATGTATTATTTAAAAAAAAAGCATGATATAGCACATCATGCTTCAAGGTTCTGGGATTTTTCTTGGATTTTTAAAACATTTTTTTCAATTTATTGCTTGATAAGTCACAGGGTGCTAAAAATTTTTGTCAGGTCAGCTGAAGATTTAAATTTTTGTTTTGTTTTAACCATTATCTAAAATGTATAAAAGATAATGGTTTAAAAAAAATTTCAATTTTTTTTAGCTGGCCTGGTAATTTTAAGCACCTGTTACATGGGTGGAGAACTCTGGCCATGACTGGAAATTTTTCCCTTGTCATCATGTAATAAATAAAAAAAGGGTTCTAAAAAATCCCAGAGCCTAACAGCACATCATGGGATATATACAGTATTTCTTAATTTTTTACAGTTTTACTTTAAAAATAACCAAGGTTGCGCCTAAGTGGGGCAATCCTCTTGGACAATAGCGAAGAAATTCACTGATTACTAGAAGAACGCAGGAAATTGAAAGAAAACAAAAAAAATGTCATCACCTTTTCCTCCGGCTTCCTCAATGGCAGCTAGGTGTACATCCGGCACTATTTTCACATGTCGGATCCTGGTGGGCAACTTTAAAGACCTGGAATTTTCTCCCAACAAAGAAAGCTGCAACATAGTGTCCATGAATGCCACCCAATTGTTGTTTCTCCAACCCAATTTGCCCCATTTCCCATCTACAGCGGATTCCTCGATTCCTTTGAAATCTCCCTTGTATTCATAACCTCGAAGCAGCAACTCCCTGTAAATTTCTTTCGTCTCCAGGGCAACCTGCGAATCTCGCTCAGGTTTCCTCGCAGCAAGAGAATACTGCAAATTTTTGTCTTCAGGCACCGCGATGAATCCAGAAGCGACTGTCGTATCTCCGTCGCAAATTTCCCATCGACCAGTAGAACTAAGCAGATTGACTCCCAGTGTCGTGACTGAACCTTCAGGATTCAGAATAGTCGCACGATGCAAGTGTACGTCCTGAAACTGAACCGGCAACTCATTAAACGGCATCCCCTTGGACCTGGCCAGGGCTTTCCAGGCAAGCATCAGGTAACCCGTAGCAGGGAACAGGACTCTGCCGTCAATCTGATGACCTGCGATATTAGCATACTCCGTTCCAGGGCTCAAGCTGATGGTCGCCTTGAAATCAGAACCCGAGCCGCCAGATTCCGAGAATCCAAACTCGTCCAGCTTCGGGATTTTCCACTCGACGGAATGGTCCCAGCTGATGAGAGAAGATATCCCCGGGGTCCCAATCGGCACAGGGTACTCGCTGCAGTCACCTTCGTAGAGATTTTGTAACTTGGGACTCGGGCCACCGGCGAGGAAAACCTTGCCAATGTTGCCCAGAAAGAAGTGTAGGTTGTCCTCGTGGTCTCGCTTTTGAGTTGGCAATACATGACATGCCTTGAGTGACCGTTTCAAGATGGCTTGCAGCAAGGAATGCGGAGCGATTTCAATGACGATAGCGTTTTCCGGAACATGTTTCAACGCCTCTTGAAACAGAACCGGGGACAAGAGGTTGTTCACGTGATACGCGGCTGAAGATGACACAGCCAAAGGAGAATTCCAGTCTTCCTCAGGGATCGAGGAACTTATCCACTTGCTTGAACGACGTTTCGGGATCGGAATCACTTGCTGGAGGGCTCGTTTTAATTGAGGGCCAGCAGCCGCGATGTACTGGCTGTGGAACGCCATTCCGCCGCTGTTGACTTCCTTGGCGAAGATGCCTTCGGATTTCAACTGTCCGACGAATGATCGGATGTCATCTACTGGTCCGGACACTGTCACGTTGTCGGCAGAGTTGTGACACGCTGGGTACACTGTGGGCGGACATCGTTCCTTGGCTTGTGCCCAGCTCAGGCCGACAGCTGCCATGGCACCAGCAGGCAAATTTGCTTCCACAATACATCTGAAAATAGCATTGGATTTCTTCGATAAATTTTTCTTGAAACATCAACAGAATTGCTCCATCCAGAACACAGCGATTATTTATTAGCGACATCTATCCCATCAATTGTCTTGAAAAAAGAGTTCAGTTCATTTTTAAAAGTCCACAGGTGTCACTCTGCTCAAAATGGAAGAAAATTATTCAAGGTGAACTCGATCCACAACAGTTTTCTCTATATAACGTAAAAAATTTATTTTTGGCCCAGAACAGATTTATTCTTCATGAATTCCATTTAAATTCCTGTAGTATTTAACACACAATTACAACTGAACCAATTTTCAAACAGTAACTCTGAAAACTTTCATCTGTAACACATGAGATGAAATTGATGAAATTGAATGCGCTGCACAAACAAATTCCCGGGTTCATGAGAACCTTTAATCGAAAACACATGAGTCAGAATCTCTAAATAGTTCAAGAGTTCATAATTACGAAAAAATTGAGCAATTGTTCCCTTTCATTTGAGCTCATTTGGCTTTTCAGTTACGGATGTATCCTTTCTGCTTGCGAGAAAAATCAGTTCAGAATTTTCTAGAGAAATTAGTTCAGGATTATCTAGGAAAATCAGTTCAGGATTATCTAGGAAAATCAGTTCAGGATTATCTAGAAAAACCAGTCAACGATTTTTTAGGAAAACATACAGATGGGCAAAAGATACAAACCTTCCTCGCCAATAAGCAGCAGCGACTGTCTGTTCCGCAGTCAGGGTCCCGTCAGCATACGCACAGCAGAGTTCACCCACAGAATGACCGACAATTCCGTCGGGATGAATTCCCATAATGTTGAGTGTTTCCGTGATTGCCACTTGAATAGCAGCAATTGAGACAAAGGCATTGAGAGTGTTGTTGCACTCGTTTTCGTCTCCGTTGAGAATCAAATTGTAGAGATCAAAACCGTACGGGACCAAAGCGTTGCTGCATTTGCGGATCGCACGGTCGAAACCCGGGAGTCCGAAAAGATTCCTGCCCATGCCGACCCATTGCGTGCCCATACCAGCGTAGCAGAACCAAACAGGTCGAGGACCTGCAGGAACGGGTTCCACGGTTCTGGCAGAGTCTGATGAACCCAGAATGCTGAATCCGCGATAGGGATGTCCACTATACATATAAAAAAAATGAATGCGCATCCATTAACGAGATTATATCGTTAAGAACCCATAAAAAGGGGAATGAACTTGAAACTTTACAAATAAGGACTGATCAGAACCCATCTGACTGGTATCAATTGAGATTGAGCAGGATATCATTTGAAAGATATTTTTGAAGTTAAAACTCCGCAAAACACAGTGGGGGGGGGGGGCACAAGAGAAAAAAACTTATCGAGTCAAACTTAGTGGGTAATATTCATCACTCGTGAGTCGTGACTAAAATATTCATTTTCATTATAATTCGTGCAAGTACTTTCTTCATCAGGCTGAATTGAAAAAAAAAGCTCAGATAACGTTTGAATGGATTGAAGTTTTTCATTGCTGAAAAATGTCAGTACAATTCCCATTCGCCGCAGCTTCTCTGATCAGATTTGGTTTCATCAGAAAAATATAAGAGGATTGGAAAAGTACTGATCTCGTGTGAACTTCGAAACCCACTTTTACAGTATAACGAATAGAAGTAATATTTGATTATAATCCCAATTGAGCTAATTGACCGACAAGAAGAGTAAGTTTAAACTTATATAGAAAAAGAGCGTTTTAATGAAGAAAAACCTGTCTGAGGCCAACTAGTCATTTCTCATTCCTCCAAATGAACTTGTTCCATCGGGAAAATTCGTTTGCTAATACAGTACAAACCTGATAGGGGTGGAGAAAATTTCGTGCAACAATCCCAACTGTGACAGTTCCAGCGACGAATCTTCCAATTTCTTTAAAGTGTCTTCCACTGCGATTTCCGTTCGGCCTGAAAACGTGACCAGGCGAGGAATTTCGGCTGGAATTTTTGGAGTTCTTTGTGAGGGCCACAAGGACTGCAGCACAACATGGACGTTCGCACCGCCAAACCCGAAGCAATTTAGTCCCGCTATTCCACCAGCTGGGAACGGCTGTGTTTCATCCACAACCTAAAAAAAAGAAAGAAAAATTAATAATAAAAACGATTCTGAAGTTGGGAATCTGCCACGAAATTGCTGGTTAAATCAAGTTATGAATAAAAAATCGCGAGCGACCATTATCCCGATTACTATTGGATCAATGGAACGCCATCAGGCACTTGTCTGTCCGAATTATCGACAGAACTATATTTTATTATATTTTTTCGCCGAGAAAAGAAGATATGTGAACGTAGGTTTACATGAAAATTTCATTATTGCGACTTACCTTCATGCGTCCGTCGCTAAGCGCTGGGATGTCCGGGTTCGGGGCCTTGAAGTGCAAATTCGGCGGGATCGAACCTCTCTCCATGGCGATGATCAATTTTGCAAGAGAACACAGGCCTGAGGCAGGTTCGGAATGACCCATGTTCGACTTGACACTTCCTACCAACAACGAATCATTCCTGGCTTTGCAGAACACGTCTGCGATCGCATTCATTTCCTGTGGGTCTCCGACCTACAGCAGAAGAGAGACTTGAGATAAATTGTGTCGAAAATTCAGATAAACAGATCCAACAATAAAGTATCAGAAATACGTTACTTTTGGATTTAGGATAATAACTACAAGTCTTGTTTCACGGAAAACGGAACGTTTTATCGATACTATACAAACAGCAGCTGCACACCAAACGTTTTCGGCAAGGTTTGCTAGGTGTCGCTACTAATTCAACACAACCTAATCAAGCCCAGTTCGGCTATTACTGTAATTTTATTGGAAAAAGTCAATATATACTGTATTATACAGTACTGTACCGTACAGTACTTCTATAGTTCGATATATGCATTTCTTGATCTATACGACGGTTCTGTTTTTCCTGGAATTTGGACTACTGCTGGTAAACCGATACAAGAGATCAATTGGGATTTATTTTAAACGGAATTGGGACCAGCCACTTGATTTCTTTTGGATTGGGGGCATGAAATTACATAAGATTTCAATCATTTCAGCCATGTTCATCAGGACTGTACTGAGCAAATAATCCTGTATCATCTGGTCGAGTAATTCATGTTCGAAGGTGCCAAATTTTTGGCGACATTTCGATGAAGATTATAAATAAAGTTTCATGATCAAAATTGTAAAGATGAATGAACTAACTTTCACATAAAATAAATGTCGCACTAACCAAGCCTAACGAAGCCCTGAATCTGAAATTTTAAATTATGAGACGACCTATAATTTTATATTAAATACTGTACGAACAAAATTCAGGCAATATACATACATATACAACAGCAAAGCTAGAAATAATGTCTTGTGCAAGGACATCAGACGTTCAAACGTGGAATAATGTATCTACAACTCGCTTCAGTTGATCAAACAAAAGCAAAAATGCCGGAATCATGTTTTTTGTTGGAAGACTTTCCGATAAAACCAGTGCAGATCAGGGGTTACCAGAAAAATTAAAAATGTCAACTTAATTTTTTTTATTCAGTGTTCCAGTCCAAATATGCATTCGAATGCGAAAAAATGAACAGCCTTCAATTTAACAGAAAAAAACTACCTTCATTTTGCGGGGACTCAGTGCATCAAAAATTTACCCCAATTGAGTTATTCCTGAATCCTGACGCAATCAACCAGCCCTTATAATAAATTTACAAGCAAATTGACAAAAGGAAGCACTCTCATGTCCAATTCGAGTAAAAATATAACAAGGGCTTTTCGTGACGTTCCAGCTGAAGCGCTGCTAATTTCGGAAGCAACCGCGTAATAATCGGTCATGAATTTTTCAAAACGAAGAATGCCCTCACCTTGGTTCCAGTTCCATGAGCTTCAACGTACACGACCTTGGACGGATCAACGTCTGCGTCAGCATACGTTTCCAATAGCAACTTCTTCTGCATTTCGCCAGAAGGGTAAGTCACTCCTTGAGTCTTGAATCCGTCGCAGTTCGTTTTAGCGTGAAGCACGGACGAGTAAATCCGCCTGGCGTCGCGGCGACGCTGCAGCAAAACCACTACCGCCGCCTCGCTTCGAACATATCCGTTTCCTGAATACAATATATCATGCAAATTTGAACGTGAGCCGACTGAACGGAAATTTTCACAAAGGAAAAATTCAGTTCCTGCCTCTTCACGCTGACGATCCAATTCTTTTCCTTCATCTGTGACACAACACAGACGAAAAGAGACACGGAGGAGGGAGGGTTCGAAGTATTCTTCTCGATAGTTTTCATCGGTATCAAAAAAGTTTATTTATTCTAAAACTAATGCCTCTAACTTTCAATGCATATTAGATTCACTACCGAAACAATGCAATGTTTGGGGTCACGAAAACAAGTTTCAATACAGATGCAAATGCGATCGCCTAAAAATAATTGGTCATGCGCGTTTTCCGCAGGTCGAGAAATAGAATTCAACAAAGGATAAGCTCAACATTGGTTCGAACAGGCGGCTCAGAGGTCTAGAAATTGAACATTCAAGTGGTCGAAAATTCTTTCGTGTTGAGCCCTACACATCGAATCAATCAATCAATCAAGCTCAATCATCTACGCGATTCTTTTGACTCTGGTCTAGTCAGCAGAAGTAAAGGTAATCGTATTTTAAGTGGCCAAAACCAACAACAAAATGGAACACCGAAAACTACATGCAGGCATTATTTGCAAAAATTATTTTAAAGTCGAAATTATAAAATTTCCCATTTTAGAAATCCCCCACCGAACATTTGTTTTCTATTGTTATATTGTGGACACGTCAGCAAAACTGTCAAAAATTTACAGATTCTTACTTCATGAAAATTATGGAAGCATTCGCGAATTCATCGAACAGTCTGCGTAAAGTACCAATGTCTCCTTAGCATTTTCGGATGCAATTTGTTTTACCCACAAGGTCAAAATTTCAAATCCTACGAAAATATAAATAAAAAACTCGAGGCAGTGGTAAGAAAATGACGAATTTTTTCTCCAAAAATTACATAGAAGCCCTCAACAGGGGAAGCACAAGTCTGAAAAACTAAAAACTCATGGAACAACTTTCGTATACCAACCACTTCTCAAGATCAGGATATTTTACATACAATGCAAATAAAAATAAAGCCCACGTGCAGACTTAAAAAAAATATATGTATATATAAATAAAAACAGGATGACAAACCTGATTTGTCAAATGCCTTGCACGCTCCGTCTGGACTCAGCATGTTCATTTTGTGGAAGTTGAGAGACATTTGAGGCTTGAGACACAAGTTCACGCCACCAATGAGGGCTGAGTCGCATTCCCCGCTTCGGATAGCGTCGAATCCTCTTTGAAACGCGAGCAGACTCGACGAGCATGCCGTGTCGATCGTAAAGCTTGGCCCTAAAAAAAAGAATAAATTTTATTTTCCTCTTCCTGCATACTTCAATTTACTAAAAAAAACACGAAACACGAAGCATGACGTCAAGGGGTGACTACAAGCTTTGCGAGCTTCTGTCAAACTAATGTTTGCTCAGCGTCAACAAAAATCTTTTTGAGTCCATGAAAAATTTTCGACAGAACATACGACATTACGAAGGGTAGCACTAACATTTCCGAAGTTAGGACGCTATTCGAAATAAAGACGAAAGATATAAACATTCCTGTTTGACAAAATATATTTGTACTGTAGTTGAATTTTCTATTTTTAAATACTTGTACTCAAGTTTTAACGTCAACAAACTCAAGTTTTGTAAAGCATCCCGTGCTTCAAAAATCAATTAGACTTTTCGACGCGGATTCTAACTGTCACGCGGGCATGCGACACAAATGCTGACGACGCATTCACAGCACGCGTCAGTTCAAATTCAACCAGCGTCGTCATCGTGCTGCCTCATATCCGTCCATTCAAACTCGAAGGAATTTTTTCCTTTTCACCTAATTCGAAATATTAAAGGAGGCGTTGAAAATGTTTGCCACTTTGAAAAGAAAAGATCAACATAATTGTACAGTACTGTAATGTGTATTTTACTGCAAAATAAAATACTGTATTTGGGAAAATGAACTTTCTCTCCACGACAAAGAAACTACAATGACAGTACTGTATATCAATAAAGATGAATTTCAAGCCCTCCAAGTATTACATTCAACAATTGTGAAGAGTACATCACATACAAAATAGAAAAAGTGGTGCAGAAGAGGTTCCCGGGCTCAACTGCAGCTCTCGGTCAAATCGGAATTTGCTTACCAGGGATTATCTCCATTTTATTTAATTTTATTCAAAAATGAATTTTAATTACCAGTAAAGTCGAATGCAAAGGAAATCCGGTTGGAGAACATGGCACGGCAACACCCAGGCAAGGTGTAGCCGGAAATTTCCTCAGGATCCGAAGTCGCATTATAAGCATTTTCTGCTTCGGAAACGGAAGCCCCGATGAAAACTCCGGTTCTGCTGCCTCGCATCGCCTCGGGATTCACTCCTAAAAACATCAGCAAATACAGAAAAAAACTAATTCTTCATAGAAAGTAGATTGTTTAAGCTCAGAAACCGCAGGGCAGTTAGAAAAATTTGACCTGATTTACTTCCGACGCAGAAAAGTAAGAATACTTCATAATCTTCTTTATACAGTCCGCATCCCAAGTTTCCAATTTCCGACCATATTGTTCTCAATAAAAAAATGCAACCTCGTTAACTTTATTCTGAACAAGCAAACAATTTATTACTGAGTCTTACGAATTTTTTCCACGATCCAGCGTAAAATCTCAAAATCTCATTTCCTCTTGTGAAGCATTTTTTTATGATACAGATTAAGCCAATTTTCAAAAGGTGAACAATGCAGATTTCTGTCATCAAGGTTATGACCCTTTCTATTTCTATAGAAGCGAAGAACGACAAAAGGGGTTCATTGCATCCGCCAATGACAACTGACAAAAGTATCGCATAAATCTGAGAAAATGCACTCTATATTTAGAACTCACCGGAGTCAAGAATGGCTTCGTACGAAATTTCCATCAGCATTCTCAGTTGAGGATCCATAACGTCAGCTTGTTTGCCATGAACCCCGAAGAAAGAAGCATCAAATGATTTGATATCTTTCAAAGTTCCCAGTCGCCTCGGCAATCCCATCAACCCTGGAAATACGAAGACCGACATAAATCATATCGCAAAGGCAAGCAAATCGATTCATCAATGTAAAAAAAATTGTAAGCTAATGTACATGTGCTTCATGTTTCCGAAAAAAACTCAAATTATCTCGAGTCGACAATTGAAACTATTAGTGCGCGTCTCTTCAAAAATCTGCCTGAGCATATATTTAAAAATTTTGCGATTCCATACGAATCATTCATCAAAATACATGTACAGCAAGAAGAGAACGTTGCAAAAAACCATAAGATCAGGAGGTTGCCAGTAAAATAAATAAAAAGTAAAATTGACCATTTTTACGAGATAATAGGTTAAAACACTACAAATACTGTAATTGTAAATACAGCGATTGGAAACGGCTGTCTTCACTCCACATACTCAATTCATGCGAATATTAGCACCCCTCTTTTAAATTTTAGAAGCTCGAAAGCAAGGTAATATCGCATAAATAACGCGTCTGTATCAGGAAATATTCCTTCTTAAGTCCCACAAAAATCGAAGATTTCTAGTTCTTTTGGAACTGAAGTTCGAACTGCAGAAATGGCCCAACTTTCAACACTTCAAGATGATGAGTCATCGACTAAAGAGGAAGGACAAGGGTTGTGTGACCCTTGCTCTTTTATTTTTCTTTTCTGGGGAAAACCTAAATTTAGTTAGAATTCTTAGTTTAATAGAAAAATAAACAACTGGAAAGTAAGTCGGAGTTTATATTCGTCTACTAATGTATTGCAATTTTAAGTTTTTTGCCTTAAACATCTAGAGGGTGCTCGTATACAAGGGGAGCTTGTTTCTGTCCTTATATGCATACGGTAATTGGGATAGAAACTTATCAACTGAAGGAAAGATATGAATTTATGCAAGACCCAAAAATCTCTTTTAAAAATCCTGCAACAGGCACGATGAGGGGACAAAATCAATTTTTATTGAAAAAAAAATATATATCTCACCTGGCTTGAAACGGCGATCAGACTCAGTAACCATATCTACTCCAGCAAAGAGGTTCGCTTCGAATTCTTCCATGTTTCCGGCTTCCGGAAATCTGCCAGAGATACCGGATATGACGACTGCGTCGGGGCTTTCAGGCACTGGCAACGGGATCCCAGGCGAAGACACGTGATGGTAATAAAACTGTTGTTGAGGACTGGAGCTGAGTCCGTTGCTGCCAAAATTGGCCATCATGTGGTGATGATTGTGCTGATGTTCGTGGATCATTTGTTGTTGTTGTTGCTGGGCACCATAAAGGTGCTCCGGGGTTTCGTGTGACCGGGCCGGCATTTTCGTTTCTGATTTATTGCGACGCTCAACAACTAATGCTCTGAAAATTATAAAAAATAATTAAGAATAGACCACTTCAAGAAATGACTATCGAATTCTTACTGAATCAAAAATACAGAACCATGGAACTATTCGATTCAGAGTGGTTCAGGCAATAGCACTACCCATAGAAACTGTTCTACCGCAATCCAAGTTGTTCGACATGGGAACTTGTTGAATATTTTTTTGCTTATAGCAATCGTGTAGAGATTAGCTTTTCAAATTAATTTAAATTTGTTTCAGTTGTCCGCACAACATTTTTAATAGTAGTGTAATGTACTGTATCACGATATTATTTTTTCAACCTTTATCATGCTGAGGAACAACAAATTAAAATTCTGAATAAGATTCGCTTCCGGGTCAGAGAAAACATCGTTAATCGAAAATTTCACAGATCTCCTCACGCATACAACAGTAAAAATAAAAAACTGCAAACGCTAGAATATTTTCGAACACGATTTAAAATCAAATACGTGAAGAAAATTATATTTACGAGTGGTACAACAAGCTATTTCTTCTCAAGGAACTATCAATTAAAAAAAACGCCAATACGAATGCGCGATTTTCATGATAATATCGCATAATGACATGGCAAAATAATAGAGAAGGAAAACGATACCTGAACTTCACTTACGGTCTATTGTAAAATATTTGCTGTCCCGTTTTTCAAAAGGAACAGAGAAACGCACCAACAGCAGAACAAAGAAAATGACTCCAGTACTCTCATGAACAAGTTAAAATTTCGATTTACAGTTGCAGGCAAAAAATTCTACTTTCGAGTGGTAAAACGAGTTCTTTTCTTGGAAAAAAAAAACTTTCGGAAAGAACCGCATTCCAAGCTTTACATTCTGCAGCACAACAGAACGTCGCAAAAAATAAGTTCATTCAATTCAACATTAAAGCCTCCAGAATTTTTCGCTTTACAGGGAAGTTGTTGCGTGTATTCCACCGAATCCTAAGAATAGTGAAAATATACAATCTTGAAAATATACAAAAGGTTATGTGAGTCATCTGTTTCACGCATCAGAGCCTACTTTGAAATATTTCAATTTTTTAAAGATTTTTAGTTCCCTCAGCAGACTAGGCGGAGTCGAGGAAATTCTCCAATCGGAAGCAATAGAAAATCCAGCTTCTACGTTGATTCAGTTGATAAAATCATTCATAAATACGATCTCTCAAACAAAAATGTAAAAAAATAACATCGCCTCCAGAAGCACAACCGAAGCCAAAGAATTTCACGCAAAGGTTACTTGATCGAAAAATTATCTCACCGTCGAACGGACATCCCGATGATGCAGCCTCGAATATATTACTCGAAAACCATCTCCAAGTTTAGAAAATAAGCATGCAGGAATAACCTTACTTCTCCTATAAATTCCGAAATACAGTAGTATCGAAAAAATCCCACAGCCGGAATGTTTGCGTGAAAAAAAGAAAGAAGTTGGGAAAAGACGGAGAACATCAGTCGTAACTCGTAAATCAAAGAAAATCAAGAAGCGAACGAACCTGGACGATCAGTAATGTTTTTCGATGATTTCACAAAATCTTCCTCAACGTTACGTCACTTGAAAGTATTTTTCTGCTTTCCCCACGTCGGTTGAAAATCGTTGACTGAACTCGACACGTTCAGCAGTATCGCGATTAAATCCACAAACTCGGCATGGTTCTCTGAAGACAAAATTGAAGTTTTTTTCTCTCATTTTAACACTATAAAATCAGAAACATTTTTTTAGGCTTGCAAATCGTGGAATGCCGGGAACATGAAAACCCCCAAAATAAGTGAGGCAATGCCGATCATTGCCTTGGTTGGTAGAAGCCAGTAGGACAATGAACCGCAAGCTTGACTCGGGCTCCTTCGCAGGCGCACTCAACCGGACAACGAACTCCTTCGTCCCGGAGCTGGAACGAGTCCGCAGTCCACCCTCAAGTAACCATTATCTTTCTCTCCCTTTTCTCACACACGTGTCTCGAAAGAAAATAAACACGAATTCATCTTCAAAATAGGAAATGAGTAATTCCCGTGTTCACGAGTATAAAACACGCACTTTTCACCGATTTTGGGTCACACAAAAAAATATCGAGGGTGCATCGACGGCACCTCGAATGCAAAATTGGTGAAAATTGAGCCATGTTTATATTAAAAAATTAATAATTGCACCTGCATCTGTGTCCATCATGAATATGAGACGCACCTCTTCATTTCCTTCAAATCCACGTCATTAATATAGATTTATAGCAGGATTCTTACGGGTCACAGAAATAAATCCCGTGTTGTCGAGAATGAAATGCGCACTCTGCCCCGGAATTTGGCTCGCAAAAAATTGAGAAATTAACGTTGGAATTCAATGCATCTGGCATTCAAAGTGGCAGATCATCGCGCGATGAAAGTTTCGCTTTCACTCATTTATTTTCACTCGAGAATAAACGCTTTTTTTTAAATCAGCCAAGAAACTTATTTATTGGCTCATCTGCTCGAATGACTTTATACATGTTGCTGGTGTGATTTTCTACTCAATCACAAAAAGGGATCGATTTAGATTTAGAAATTTTTTTTTCAATAAATCTATAATTCCATCAGGCGAATTTCTACCTGCAGATCGGCTTTTTCCAGACATGAATTTTGAAACACAAGGGTCAGTCACTGATGAATTATGCCTTCAAACATTTTCCCAAGGAATAAGTGCTCAAAGATTTGCATGCAATTTTCTTCCTATCACCCATGTAGAGATTACAATTTCAACACCGAGTGAGCTAAACTGCCTAATAAAGTTAAAATAGCGCATTATTTATGCAGGTAATTAACTTTAGGTTATAACCCTTGCAGCACGAAGTATGTACCATATTCAGGTTTTTTGCACTGTAATAGAAATGCACCCACGTTCAAAAATCAAAGTTTGTGTAGAATACTATACATTTTTGTCAAGTTTAAAATTTGAAAAAATCACAGAATTCAAATACTGTACTTGACAAACTTGCGTGCGCGTTCCAACAGTCAAGCTCACGTCAGCGAAACGTTTCAACGAACCAATCCTGAGCGACAAATCGCATTTCAACATTACTTGTAGAGGTAGAACCGCGCACTTTCCAAGAAATTGAAACATGAAAAAAAGTGATACAGCACGACCAGTGAAGTATGTCATCGTTTTTCTCACTGATGAAAAAATCCGAGGAAAAACAAAAGCCTCCACGGCATGTGAAGCTCGCCGATGCAGAAATGTACTGTATCGCGAAGAGCTCCATGTCTAGATCGTCACAATTCCGCGAAAATGCGCATTAAAATTGTTATCCCTCCGCCCGAGCAAACTTGATTTTTTCAGCAGTTTACGCTCGAATACATAAAGAACTCAGTCGCATGTCGCGAAATCGCGATAAAAACAAAAGATACCGCTACAAAGATGCACTCATTCAAGGGATGAATTTCCTGATCTATTACTTGGGAAAAGATATTTTTTCGAAAATAAAACCATTGCCGCTATCGGTGACGCAAACTAGAACAGACGAAAGGGTAAGATTTTCTAAACCCGCCAAAAATAACACATATACACACAGCATTTATTTTCAAGCCCATCCGGTTGAGTCAATATTTTCAACGAAGACGTGCGATAACTCCAGTTATTTGACTCAGTCCCGCGAACACACGAATTTACATTTTGAACGAAACGCAAGCAAAAAATCGAATTAAAATTGGGAATTATTCATAAAGCACATCAACGAATAATCGTTACAAGAAAACACGGTACGTTGTACACAACGGTTTAAACGGTATTTTCCTTGCTACTAATTCGGTCACGAATTCACTTGGAAAGTGGGTCAACTCGAATCAGAAGAGTTCATTTCTAAGAGTTCCTCAGAATTAATTCTCCCGAGTTTCTTCGAAAGGTTTTTAAAATAACTGTACGTGATTCGATCATACCTGTTGTTCCCTCGGATACGGTGTTTCGTATTTTCTGTATTGTACTGTACTTACAATGAATGGTCAGATAGATTGTTCATAGACCACAGAAGTAAAGCAAGTGCGGAACTGAATTTTTCAGCGAAACATGCATCAAACAAAATTGCATAACGATCATTCATACGATGCAGAAAAAAGTTGTCTTGATGCGTGAGGTATTTGTTTCAGCTTCAATCCGCTTGAAAACTCGTACTTTGTCTGAAGAAAAGTTCGATGATCAAGAAACAACATTTTGATCGCACAAAACAATTGGTCTAAACTCTAAAGGGATATTTTATCTATAAGGAACTTTTTCGTAGAATGTGTTTCCTCTTCCATTGCATACCAGCAGGACTTCTGCCGGATAAGAAAATTCGGACGAAGTGTAAAAAATGAATTCACACATTTTTCTTGCGGAAGTTGGTTCGATTGCCCTCGGAAAATTCACGAGCAAGGAACTGTATCACTATATATCTGGGATATACTGTACTCGTGTATGTCTCACTGCCCTACTAACACACGCCGGATAAAATGTGATGAATATTGACCTCCCGGCCCGAAATTAGATGAAAACAACTCTGAAAAGCAGGGCGTCCAGGAATAGAACCTGGGTCAAGCGAACGCTGCCGCAGTCATACCAATACAGTAACTCACAGCAACGCGATCAAGCAGCAAACTGAGTCACTGTCGCAGTCCTCGCGACAGTCACACTCGACACATTGCTGAGCCAGCATTCAGAAAATCCCCTCTGCACGCTATAACGCACACATATACACCAACAACATAACCTTATGGTCTGCCTTGCAGCAGAAGACGAGCACTTGGAAGAGAAAACCCGGCTGGATATTCCCCCCTGTTTGGAGCAGCCACAGGGCGATTCACCGTAACCTCTTCCCCATGCCAGTCCACCACACCAGTCTGCGATCAGGCCACTGCCACATCACGCCAGAAATCGCGCGTTCCTGTAGCCAGCTGAAAATGGAGGGGGCAGAGACAGAAGCGAGAGGGAGGGGGAGAGTGCGTGGAAGAAGTTGAGGAGGCCAAGGCGGGCTTTGAGACTTACAGTACAGTACTGTATTCCCTCAGCCGCTGGTGCGACGCCCTAAGGTTTCCTGTCAAACTGACCCGGAAGGATTGGGATACACTCGCTACAATACAGTGCTGCACAAGTACTGTGCAGTGTACCGGTGACTGGGAAATGTTAAGCCGAAATCAAGGAAACCTGGCTGTCAAATCCTGGCTTAATGGAAAAGTGTAGAATATCGTTTTAACCATTCTTTTGTAACCATGAATTTATGCATCCTGTTTGAAGTAGGTATTCAAGAAGATTTTTGCATCCATTACTACCATCAGTGCTTCCCTACGTAACAAAAGACAAACTCAACAAAAATGCCCGTGTTGAAGCTTCTGTTGGGACCAAAGTATTATATAAAAATGGTCGATTTTATCTAAATCCATGAATTTCAAGGTTTTGTGCATACACTTTCAAATCATTGTTTGCGTTAACTTAATAATATAGCAAGAGGCTGTATGAAAGTAAACAACTTTATTTGTATACATCCACAACATTATTAATTCTAGAAAAATATTAGCTTTGCATTGCCTGCAAGATGCAGTATACAGATTTCAATTATTCTGTAAACTACAGCGTTAACCATTAACAATTTTATTAATAACTTGCTGTAATGTACATATTATTAGCTCGGGGTAAATAAAAAAATTTAATGACTGTCTGCATGAAAACAAATTTTTTTTTCATCAAAGAACGCACATGGGAAATGATTAACCAAATGCTTCCGGGGGGGGGGGGGTTATATTGGGGAAGTTACACCTGACATTCAATCCAACAGCAGTCGCGCCAGGAGTTTCACTCAGCCGCCATCCGGTGAATTTACCGTTCTTCATCAGACACTCCTGAGTGGTTCTGGGTCGCGCACCTCTTTCAAAAGTGAATTCTGCATCCGGTTTGTCGAAATTATGACAAACTGATACCATCTGGTAATTGTCCTTTTCGTGCTGAGAGCAGAAATAAAGAGAGTGGAGAGTATGTACAATTTTTTCCGAAGCTTCTATATTCATTCTGAAAATTTTCCAGTGAATTTTAATTTTCTGTCATCAATATTCAAAAATGCTACATTAGCGAAGGCTGACAATAATTGCATGACACTCTCACTTTTTTCAATTGTATATTTTTCTATGAACTGAATCCAGAAATGTATCGAAATTATTTTGACAAATCAGTCGTGATCGTCATAAAACTTGCTTTCATCCCCAGTTCTTATCTCTGATGCGCATTGTCGCACTATATTTGCCTATGAAGTTAATGATACAAAAAATGAACATAGATTCAAACTTTTTGAAGAGTTTACTAACACGCAGGCATTTAAATTGAAAATTTCTCAACCTGTCTAACATCAAGTTTGAGCTCTTCGTATATTTTCGAGGATTATTCGAACCCAATAATTTACAGTCAACTTCCGATTTTTCGACCTTCGACGCCTTGTGACGAGTGTTGATGCTAAAAAGTGCTTCAAAATACGCTTTGATTCTAATTGAAATCACGAATTTGAGTTTTGAACTAAGCCGCGTTCCCCTCGAAGAAGACACGAATTGAATGAAAATTTAATAACTTAATTTTGGAGAAATTAATGGACATACTTCACCAGACTATATTTTATGAATGAAACTTTTTCTCTTTTCTCGTAGCTGGTGATAGAGCTTTTTCGACAGATCAACACGGAATATGTCGACAAACACTTTATTGTATAGGAAAAAAAAAGAACACCGCACCTCTTATCAGCAATTTTCGCAGGAGATTAAACCCTTTTTTAGACTAGTGCACGGCATCGTCACGCTTTCACCACGTCGTCCTCCGCGTGATGGGAAAGACCCGCACTGTTTTTCAAAGAGTGCTTTGTTTTATTGTGAATCATTTTCCATGATTCATGTTTCTTTATTTTTTTTTTTCTCATTCAAGTGAAGTTAAACAATCAAGAACTCCTTTCTGATTCCAAGATGCATTGTGTAAGAGATCAGATTGTCCTAGGAAAAATTCAATGAGGTGCTTAGGCATACAATGTGGAGGTAATGAAAAATGTCACATTCTATAATGTTTTTAGTGACTTGGGTTATGGACGGAAATATAGGTGGACTCTCTTGACAACAAAATTCAAGAGACCATAAAATTTCGTTGAAGAGAGAATTTTGTCGCAACAAAATTCAAGGTACCAGAAAAATATATTTGTAGAGACAACTTTTTTTTTTAGAGAGAACGCATGAAGTATGACATGGGGAGATAACACTGTGGAACCCGAGAAAAAAATTTGTTGTACAGATAAAATTGTTGTAGAGAGAGTGACCAATACAAATGCTTGGACAGCATCTGGTCAAATTCCATCCTGCAAAGGTCACCAAAAATCAGCTTTGGCTGAGAATCTGAAATCTGGGAAAGATAAACCCCATTTTATCTTTTTTTTTTTGGAAATCCCTCAATGCTAATCCTACAAAAGGAATGTGAAAAAATGGCACACGGCAGTAAGAGATTTTTTGGGGAAATTTGTTGGCCAAAAAAGAAAAATAATTTGGAATTTTTCCAGACTTCAGCTCTTCTGGTGACTTTAGTTTTTTTTTTGTGCCTTGCGACAAAAACTTGTGCAAATAAATCCCTAAACCACAACCCAAGGGTTAATCAAGTCACCACTTAAATTTATTTTACTGAAGGTTCCCATCAGCAGCAGTCATGTAAGATAACCTTATTGGGATGCCTGTCATTAGTCGGTCGGCAGCAGCAGCGGCACTCAATTCTTTTATTATTTCCCCGAGACCTTTTTTTTTTTTTAACGGTTATTCCTCCTCCTGTCGGGCGAAGCAGATGCTGCGGATGAAGGAGTCAGTGAACTATTACGGCGGCGGCGGCGTGGACATAGCGTGATCCACGCGCAGTGCTCAGAGCCAATCCGGAGCGGCGGCGTCATCGCCCCACGAACCGGCGCCCAATGTGCTGCCTCGCGGCGGCCTTGAAACCTTTAACTTCCCCTCGCGTGGACGAAAACCGGATAGAGCGGCACCGGGAATCCCGTATAGAAATAAGCTCGTAATGAAACTATAGTTGCGAGGTCGTCGCCGGGAAAAGAGAAAAATGACCTCGTAATTTTCTCTCCCTGACCTCATAAGCATTGGGTCGACTATCGAAGACTTTATTATTGCTGCTGAGGACATGCATTATTGCGTTTGTTGTGGATTCCTGAAGTGACCCGTTCTCAAGGCTGCTGAGAAAACTGGGATAATCCTAATGTTATAGGGATTTTGTACAACGAAATTCTCTGCAAAATTCCTTTTTTCTGGGCGATTGCAATTTCATTGTAGAGCCCACGTGTAATAAACTATTAATATTGATTTTAGAGCATTTACAACCTTGGTCGGATCTCTCTCGCATCTCCATCTCTTGAATAAAATTTCTACTACAAAAAGTAGAAGATTCTGTATACATTCTTTTCTGTACTGTACAGAACAGAAAGCTTTTTTCTGATCATCTTTTCATATACCTGATAAAAAAAATATTTACTGTATACAATACAGTACTTTTAGTATAGGCAGCATCTCCTACTAAACAATTGTGTGATAGGAGTGGAATTTTAAGGGACTTTTACATTTGACTGAGAGTTTTTGAGTTCCAGAATTTGGTTGCATTTGGGTAGGTCAATCAATGGAATTGTTTTCATGCCAAATAAATAGAACTGTTGATTATTTCCTGCATTGATGTTATCCATGCAGGAAGATGTCGAGCCTCTTATTGTGGAGAGCTGTAAGAAAATAAGTACAGTAGCATGTGCTTTTTTTTGAACAGCAGGTGAATTTAACCCCACTTTAATAATACAGTATATAGGCCTTTTTCAACCAAGGTAGGCCTGAGCCAAAATTAATTAAAGTAATAGAGGTTTTGAATTGAATAGGCCAGGAATTGAATGGAAATTTGGATTAAGACGTTTTTACTTATTGGAGGCTTGATTTGGCGAGGTCCATTTTCGCAACTACTGTAATATAATTTTTTAAATGAATTATTATTTCTGACAGTAAGCTTTGTAGGAAAATGTCACTATACTGATAATGCATTGAATACTGTATGCTACAAGGTCACTATACTGTATAGGAATGTTTACCCATCTCAAGAAACAGAAGAGACAGCAGATGAGTATACGTTAATGTGAGGGCTACTTGCATAAAAATGATGAATATAAAGTTTTTCTATTTGGAAATACTGTACTGTATATCATTTGTGAAGTGTGCCCATGACTTCTTAGTTCTTACACATACGCGATGTGAGCCACAGTTTGATTTTTATTTATGATGCGGGCGACACCTACTTAAGATTAAACCAACCACATTAGTTCCAAATTTCTCCAGCGACAAATCTCTAGCCATACATACCGTACATGCAGAAGTTATCTTTTTGTTCATAACGTAATTCAGCGCCTCTTTTCACAGCGTGTGAATCATAATTAAATATGAAGCTTTTTGACTGGTGCTTCTAGCATAAAAGAAATACTAAAAATCTGGACAGTGCCAAACTAAAAAAGTTACATAATGCGAAGATTGCAGCATATGTCTGCATTCCTAAAGCACTTCTGCTGAATCACTCGCTTACATCACGTCCAAAAGAAATCCTTTCAAAAAATAATCGGGAGTTCCGGATTCTAGGGAATATATATGATTCGACGAAAAAGTTGACTGAAATTCCTTTCAACGATTATATTGCATTTTCAAGACTGACGCAACATATGCACGCGTAATATTCCGTTGGTCACATGATACAATTTCCAAGAATTTTCGACCTAAGCAATAAAATCTGGAAAAAGTTCAAAAAAAGGCTTTTCTTCAAACGTCGTCATCAGCGTTTTTCTCTAAGTGAAATTCAACCATGCCACACCGTTTCCGCAAAGCTTTGGACGGCAAATAAAATCGTAATTCAAATGGTGAATAAAAGAACTTTTTCCTGCACTCATATCTTCCATTTGAGATAAGAAGCACTTATATGGTAGTTATATTAAGAATCTTCAGCTTAATTCTAACGCTTTAACGTAGAAAAGTTGGCAAGTTAAGTGAATTCGAAAAAAAAACGAGTTCAAAAATCAGATGGACTCCTCTTATGCCGTCGGTATCTCCATAAAGAAATCGACCCGTCTTCCGTCACAGCCACAATTATTTTTCCGGAAGGATGTAATTTCACGTGCTGAACCGCCCCAGATAGTTCAGATGAAACTGCCAATCGTTTTCCGGAAACGTAACTCCACACCTGGTTGGAAAGATACATAAAACTCGATTAAAAATATGTATGGGGAGATCGTGAGCACCGCATTGATTTCCGGAGCTCACAAAACTAATCAATCTACTGCAAGGACGGTATAAGTATTGTAAATCAATCCAGAATCCTTCTGCCTTTCCGACTAAAATGCGCAATGCCAACTACTGGACATTTTTTTTCGACAACATTTCAAGATGATGAGATTCGGTCCCCGTACCTGTACTACAGTACTGTATTACACGTTCCTTTAGTTACTCACGCTTTAGCGACATCTACAAGTCGAATTTATAATTTCTTGTCGCTGTGATACTATAGATGTCGTAGGTAAGTTTATTTTTCTCGATTTCCTGGTTGAAGTGCACAGAGATGACGGAACATTAGTTTGTGTTCCTCTCGTAGATGTCACTTTATCAATCGATTTGAGTCTTTACTCGTGAGCAGTCAGGAATAACTAGCAGGCTGTGGCCCGTATACTCTTGCTTGCCCCTTTTCGCGAAATACACAGTGGCTTATCGAATCATCGGGATACTCCTCAATAACCCTGGTTATATTGGACTCGGATCCGGTTCAAATTACACAAAAAAGAACAATACTGCACCTGGATCACCCGGCTTTGTCCACCGGTGACAAAAAATTCTCCATCACCAGTCACGGTTTCGATGTCCACAGAACTCAATCCAACGCTGGGTTTTCCGTCAATTTGCACGGATTCAAGACTCCAATCGGATTTAGAATGGGGCTCGATTTGAGGAGTGATCACAGTGCGCATGTGCGTGCCACTAAAGGCATCCCAATAGTGGATCCTGGCGTCAGATCCCGCAGTCACCAACTCAGGTTCACCAGGATGGAAGCACAGGTCGTGGAACACGCAGTTCGCACGGAAAATGTGCAAGGGTCGAAGATCCCTAAAAAAATCGGTATCATCATAGCAGTCTCTTGAAACCGGTAAAGATTGAGTATAGAGAAGGACCCTCTCAATAAATTGTAAGCTGTGAAATCAATCTTCAGCAAAATAACAAAATAAACATAATGGAGCTTATGCAGGAACAGGTTACATACTTCTGCAAATCCCTTTTATTCCCTTCGTATCCAATGTCACAAACAAAAACAACTGAGCTTAAAAAAAGCCATTCTCAATGTCAAAAGCAATCCGTAATTAGCAATAAATTATTTATTAATATATTTTTCGCTAATCTGGCAAACGAAGTGCGAAACATTACAGGTCTTAGAAAACACCGAGTAATATTATTTTGAACAAGGCACATCCGTACGAGTTTTTTAGAGAGACGCTAAATAATAAACTCATCAAACCGATATACTGAGAAAGCCTTCATACAATTTTCTCTTCGGGGTAGTTTTATTCGAATACGCGTCCTGATTGTCATGCCAATGAAACTGCGGTAGAACTGTAAATTGGACGTAATCAGAAAGATGATTAAAACAGAATTTTTGCTTCAAAACATTATTTACCTGATAATTTAATCGTTTCCGGATAAAGGTATGCTAAACCTGTCTAATTATCTAGTTCACTCTCAGCACACTTGGTCTCGTCATTCTGTGAAGATCTAGAAATTGAACCCAGAAATTAAATCGGTACGAGTGAAGAATCATCGCATTGATGGATCTTTTGGAAGGTTTGCCTGAACCACGCCAGATTTTGTTCAAAAGAGAAGAAGATCGGCTCTAGTGGAAATTTTTGGTGAGACAGCTCATCTTAATCCCGAGCGCATTCCTAAATTCCTTCGATAAATTATTCCGAAATTCAACGCAAAAAATATACAGACCTCAAGCTCCAGACAACACAAGTCCGATCCAGCGAGGCGGAGGCAAACCTTAAATCCCAAGTCGGAAGCTCTCGATTCTCTTCTATCATCAGACTAGTTATCCGATTTTTGTGTTGTCTCGAAGATCTATCCATTCGAAGACGCCTTCTTCCACCCGACATAAACGTCTCCCACAATTTAATCTAAAATTTAAAAAATAAAAATCAAAGAGGATATGAAAACTTGAAAATCTATTTCATGAATCCTAAAAGGCCAACGAATATAACTCACGCTCCCGTCGGAACCGGCACTCAGTAAATAATTACCGCCGGAAACAATCCCCAAGCAAACGACTGACTGACCGGGATGACAGTCCAAGGATTCCAACAAAGGATCTTGCTTGGATGCTGCCAAATGATCAACGGCCCATGCTCTGATTGCCCCATCGCTCCATCCTTCGAATGGGCGAAAATAAGACATCACACTACTGTAGTCAGGATTTTTTAACTTCCGGATTATTTGAGCACTGATGTCCTTAAAAAATCAGAGCTTTTTAACAATAGTGGAACTTCTTGAAATGTGGTATATATACCGTAAGCAGAAAAGCCTTGGTATCGTTATATAATTCTAGATGCTGCTTGAACATGAAAAAAAGTGTTGAGCAGAATTTCTCGCATTGATAAAATTTTTTATCTGATGATTTATTTGTCTATATCAGTGCTGAACAACTTGGATGAGGCCAAGGAAAAAATTATAACATTTTCCGTGCCCAATGAGGGCCACATTGTAGAGGTGGAGAGTCCTTGCAGGCCCGATCAATGGACACACATTTTTGAGGTTCCAAAATTATCCTTTTTAAATGAGAAGTTTCAAATAAAATTCAAATGTATGAAATGAATCTCAAGTATAGCCTTATAGAATTTTTGAATGGGGAGCAACATTTTGAATTGTTAAATTCATCATTTATTACATAAATTTGAGTAGTGGCAGCTATTCAAAGGTGATGTCACCTTGGAAAAAATGGCAATGATAGGGAAGGGACAGCGGGACAGATCTGCAGACTGGATCTGGCCCGCGGTCCTTACGTTCGGCATCCCTGGTCAACAGATTCACTCAAGTGCACAGTTGCTCACTTTTCCATGTTTTTCTCAAGATAAATTTTCCACTATACAGGTGCAATAATACAGTACTGAGTAATCTGCTCAGGATGCTTTTCTCTCTTGTCGATTTAACCAGTGATTCATCAACTTTGTCAACAAAAGAAAACATGAATATCTGAAAATCACTTGCCAGAAAAAAGAAATTTCGGTGGACCAAAACTCGGAAAGAAAGCGAGACTGAGACACGAACACTTCTCCTTATCGCTATTCAGCACTTTCAGCGCTTCTTTACTTCCGAAGTGCCAAAGACGGATTTCGTTTCCCCCGCAAGTAGCGAAAAATTCAGCGTCGAGATATTTCCTTGCGAAAATAGAAAAACAATTCATCGTTGTCTTCAAAAATCAAGAAAAACAAGTTTGAACAGAGAGCATATAAATTCTACATCTGGGGAAAATTTCCCCAGATATGAGATACAGTATATGAGATTATGCTTGGGATACGAGTGTTGATTCGAAGAAGATAATTCTTCACGAAGTTCGACAGAAAATCAATTCTTACCTTGGAGTCGCAACGGCATAAACAGTGCCCACATGATTTGACATCATTAATTCCCAGTGCAAGGTGTCGAGGTCAATCCTAATTAAATTATGCTTCAAAGTTGTCAGAATCGCATAGTTTTTCTTCAGCGATGCATCCGGGTCGCAAAACATCGCGATACCACTAATCGAACCATTCACGGAAGTTGTATTCATCTAATAAAAAAGGAAGAGAAAAAACAATTGTCGGCGGGATTTCCAAGTTCATTTAACCAGGATGGAACAAATTAAGAAAATACATCTTCGATCACTCAGACGGTCTCAAAGGTTTTTTTTCGAATTTGCTACAGTTTAAAGAAAAAACTGACTTACAATCTTCAGAAGAAGTCCTTCTAGTCTATTTGGTCCTTGTGGGACTTTTGTCTTCGTTCTTCTTGCTTTCATCGCCCTGATTTCTGCATTTTGGTCATCTTCATAACTGGTTCGGTCTTCTACAATAGCAAAGGTGCCATCACCGCAACCAACGATGATACCGCTGAATGAGGGTATCGCGGCTAAAGAGGTTATGCCTGCAATTATTATAAAAACACGAAGTCAAAACAATATTACAATAATTTTCCGAAATTATCGACGACAATACTTCACCCTTTCGGAAAGGATTTCTCACGGGATGAGACTTCGGGCCGCACTTGGGGGCGAGTGCACCCAGGAACAAAGCGTCACTAACTCCAGGGGTTTTGGCAGACTCTCGATTATTAGAAATCGAAGAGCTGTCATCGGGTAACAGGACTTGCGACGGCTTCCATCCTTCATACAACCGGAACTTGAGAATATCTCCACTTTCGGATCCAGCATAAACACCGACAGCTTTTGACGTAGGATCCTAGAAAGTTTGGTGAATTGTTCAGGTTATGAACAATTCGGCTTAATATCAAAGGGCAACTTTTTGTGGAGCAGATGAACGAATTTATTACTTACCAAGGATCTTGTAACGTGATGGATGAAGTAGATCCTTTATAAAAATCTTGAAAATTGAACGCATGGTTTATTTTGGATTTTTCCAAAAGCAATTTTTCATTTCCAATAATTTTTAATTTTCTCTTTAAAAAAATCATCCAAAGCATTCTGCTTATGATATGTTTCTTATTACCTTGAGATTTTACGATACTTATTTTTTTCATTTACTGCCTTGAGGTCTAAAGGCACAATAAGGGGACACTTGTCCATAAGCACTGTTAGATGTTGTCCCTGTCGGCTGCTGGAGTTCCCCCCCCCCCTCCCTCTTCTTCCCAAGAATGATGAATTTTTTTATGAAAAACAAAAAAAATTTGAAATGCATCAAGGCTATCACCACTATACCTTCACAGCTAGAAGACAAGTGATGTTCCTCGTCAAGGTACCCAGCTCAATTTCACGACAAGATAACCGTTGATGAGGCAAACTCATTGTCCAAATACAAAAGAAGCTATTCAGTTTGGTGAATTGTTCAGGTTATGAACAATTCGGCTTAATATCAAAGGGCAACTTTTTGTGGAGCAGATGAACGAATTTATTACTTACCAAGGATCTTGTAACGTGATGGATGAAGTAGATCCTTTACAAAAATCTTGGAAATTGAACGCATGGTCCATTTTGGATTTTTCCAAAAGCAATTTTTAATTTCCAATTATTTTTTATTTTCTCTTTAAAAAAATCATCCAAAGCATTCTGCTTATGATATGTTTCTTATTACCTTGAGGTTTTACGAGACTTGTTTTATTTTTTTTTTCATTTACTGCCTTGAGGTCTAAAGGCACAATAAGGGGACACTTGCCCATAAGCACTGTTAGATGCTGTCCCTGTCGGCTGCTGGAGTTCCCCCCCCTCTTCTTCCCAAGAATGATGAATTTTTGTATGAAAAACAAAAAAAAATTTGAAATGCATAAAGACTATCACCACTATACCTTCACAGCTAGAAGACAAGTGATGTTCCTCGTCAAGGTACCCAGCTCAATTTCACGACAAGATAACCGTTGATGAGGCAAACTCATTGTCCAAATACAAAAGAAGCTATTCGTTCCACCAACAAGCACCACGTTATCCAGGCTTGGGTGGAACCTGGCTACAGTCCGACAAGGCTATGAGGACCACAATAATGGTTGACGAAACGTAGGATGTCCGTCCTAGTACTTTCTTTATTATAGTGATCTGCTTTCTTAAGACTACTTAAAGTTCTTTTGGACACTAACGAAAGGGGGCACGGACGTCGAAAAAATTCAGCGATCCGTCAGCTGGTCCTCCAAGAGATGCCACGTAAAGCGATTTCGAGGAGAAAGACAAACTTGCTACGGAGCACCAATGTAAATTGTGGCTTCCAACCAATTCGAAATTTGACTGAAACCCATCATCTTTGATACGCCAGATTGCTGTTTCAGCCTGTATACAAAATGAAAGCCTCTTATTGCGTCAACGCATCCACTCCGTGTGCGAATGCAATTCACAAATATATCCTACACCGCGATTGGGTAATGAAAATACGGTGCCGAAAATATATGGAGCTTTAGAAAAGGTCGAGTGAACTAAAAAAAAAAGTTGAAGCAGAAAATGTGCTTCACAGGCATGAATATGTGCCTGCGAACAACATTGAAAATACTCGAACACTAATATCTGTGAAGCGTCGCAGGATTAATCGTGAAATCCGTTCATGGGTTGGAATAACGTCAACAAATATCGATNAAAAAAAAGTTGAAGCAGAAAATGTGCTTCACAGGCATGAATATGTGCCTGCGAACAACATTGAAAATACTCGAACACTAATATCTGTGAAGCGTCGCAGGATTAATCGTGAAATCCGTTCATGGGTTGGAATAACGTCAACAAATATCGATACTCAGGAAGTCTTCGCCCTTGCTACACAGAATGTCAAGCGAAGAAATGTTCAAATTTTGTATCCACGCTTTATTAAACCAATAGGAAAAATATTCGACACTCCTGCAAGAAATCCTCTCCTTTCTTGTCCATCCGGAGGGAAACTAGCTTTATTGAGAAGAATACTGTATGTTGAACATATCTCAGTCATAGGGTATGACAATTCGGTTGAACGAATGAAGAGACCAACTAATTAAATCTCTGCAATCTGATTTTCCTGATCGCGGTATCCACAGAACAAATGAGTTCAGACGCAGACGACAGATGTCACTCGTTCTCACCCTTCCGTTCTTTGGATGACATTCTCCAGACGCAAGAAATCGCTCATCGCTGGAAACCGCAAACGCGTTGATGTCGAAACGGTGGCACTTCCAATAAGGCGTCTGCAAAGACTCTCCCAACGCAGATATGCTAGCAGATCTTTCGCTATCCGCATCTGAGCCTTTTCTCCTCGCACCAGCACGGGTTTCATTCCTCTTCACTTCCGGTTCGGGTTGAATTTCTATGAAGTTATCCGTTATGCATTCGTCTCGCTTAGGGGCCATCGCCCTACGCTGGGGTGAAGCAGAAGTCGGCATGCATTTCGAAGGCTCAGAAAGTTCGATGGGGAACGTGGGAAGTGGGTGAATTAAGATCCGGTTTCCTCGAGCCAAGTACAAGTGACGGCGATTCACAGAAACTGCAACCGCATCTTTCAATTTTCCTTGAAAATAAATAAAATTGTACTACAATACGGGTTACACAGAAAAACATTATGCGCAAATCTTTAAAAGGTTTTGCTGTCAAATTCAATGTTCCTCTACACGATTTTTGAGGGTCATTCAGACGCAGCTAATTTTTGGTTTACAAGGATCAGATCCTGCTTTCATTTTCCAAGTCTAAAACTCGCAGACAAAAATCTACTCAACTTAAAAATAAAACATTATGGTCATTGAACACTCCTTCGAAAAAATTCCCCCAAAAATCGATTTCTAATTTCTTCGACTATTTTTTTCACGCGCGATTTATGTGCCCGACACCGTTATTAATGAGAAACATGAAAATGTACTGTACGTACTATTCGAAAGCCTCAGATACATTTATTGAACATCGATTAAGCGATATTCCAAATTCATAGTTTTTACGATACTTTATTTCAGTTCGACAGACGTTGAAAAAAAATTCTAATTTTTCGGGGTGAGACATTTTTGAAGGTCATATAGCAAACAGATCTTAACGAGTAAAAATATAAAATGTACGCAATTCGAAACATATTCAGTACCAAATTTATTGCAGACAAAGTTCCGCTTTTCAAATTGAAAAATACGCAAATTTTCCGTTTCTGCAGCATCCGGTGCCATTACAATGGATTTTTTTAAATCGGTTTTCAAGGTTGTTTATAATCGCAGTTTCTAAAGCTCCGACTACAGTATTGACAATTTCAATACAGTATTATGAAGTAACTCTTTCTCTTTTCTTCTAGATCATGTTAAATCAAAAGTCAACAACCCCCCCCCCAACAAATAAAATTATCCAACCACAAAAATCTCACCTGCGAACCCGAGACTCCAAATTTCTTCAAGTATCCCAGGTTCACTGTCCATGATGATGGTCTTCCAACTAATCCGTGCGAAGAATACCCATCAGAGGAAAAACCGGACCTTCCAAAACATTCAACTGTCAACACTTGATTCAAATGGTACACTTATACGTAGCACCGAAAACTGAGAATTGGCATCTTCAGAACCACATTTCCTTCATAGTGCTGGAGCAACACTGTGAGACCCAGGATTTCCTTTTTTTTTCGCGGTCCAGAGAATAAGTTTGATCTTTGTTTCCAGGGTAACACGACACCGACGGCACGCGGAGGAAACCAGCACGAATTCCGTTGACGGGTGCTGACCCAGGGTCTCACTGTTCCAACCCAACTTCAGAGATCATGTCCTTTTAGCATACCACGCATGACCATCAACTCTGCATTTGTTTGATCTTTACATGATCGGTGACTGAAGTAAACTGGTCAGACACAACAACGTCGTAAGAAATGACCCATTACTCGAATTCTTGAGCTTCTCATCGATTGACAGAAAATAATGAATGTCAACCGTATAATAAGGCAACACATATTTTCGCATTTAAATTTGTAGTTGAATAAATAATAATTTACTCAGTTTAAATTCTTGCATGACTCAAATACTGTACATAGATTAGGAACGCTTTCACAATAGAGGATAGAACTCATGAATTCATTTCTCAGCAGCAGCACACGGCCTCGGAAAAATTATCTGAATGCCAGTTCAATCAGGTTCTAGAGGCACAAGTCTAAAATTTGGGAATTTCAACTTTTCAATCGTGCGTCTTCAAGAATATCAGCCGGAAACGACTGAAAAATAAGCACAAAAAGCGTTTTTTGAAAGTTCAACAATAAACGCTGAATTTCTGCGCATATAGGAAAAAAGTTGTGCTCCATTTGTAAGCTAATAAATATTCAAGCAGCAACATTTCTCAAGNCCAAGGTGATTGGCACCTAGTTCCAACATTTTCTGCTTTATTGGCTAGTCATTAAAATTATTCTCAAAAAACTACGGAGATTCGCAGGAGTGTCCTAAAAGTAGGGGCAGCTGGGGACAAGAAGTGTCCACAAAAACGACTATTCATGATCTACCAGGGTATTTTTATTTTTAAAACTGCAAATGGACTTGAAAGTAATGGCAGATATTCGAGCTCCTTGAAACTTTATCCTATTTCAAAAATGGTTTCGAAAGAAAGAGTTGTCAAAAAAGGCAGGAAGATTCAGCAATGGATCCATTCGTTGACATTGGTAGCAATCAACATGACAAATACAGAATACACAACCTCTCTTTCAAGAACGAAAAACAAAAATTGGGACCATCGATTTTTTTTGCGAATCCATTCAACTACAGGTATTTGCCATCAACCACTAATCGAGAAGATGTCAGTCGGCATCCCGATCATTTCCCTTCGGCACCTACGCTATAAGACAGCAAACTTGGGAAATACAGTACTGAATAAACATTTAAAAGAAGAAATGCGACAATTTTCCATCTCAGCAAACATTCCGCTTTTATGTCAGCCATCGCCCATCGAATGTACCGAAAAAATAAAACACAAAAAATCGCCCCACAAATATTTTTTTTTCGCGCGAAGATACGAAAATAACGCGAAAAGCATGACCACGAGAAACAGGCCACACGAGACTCGGAACAAAGCAAAGCAACCATTGAGCCCATTTTTTTTTCAAGGCGCAAAAAAACATTTTTGAACGCTTTTTCAACCTTGTCTTTTCCTTCATCTCGCGGATCGACGGACTCGAAAAATCCTTCCCGGACTTCCGCCGCAAAGGCAAACACAAACCAGGACTTCCGCTCTCAACATCACAAACTTCTGGTGGATACTATTCCCCATTCTACCGCGAAAAGCAGAGCAGAAAAAAAAAAACCATGATTCAAGAACACACAAGTGCTTCTCCCCCACAAAAAAACCCTCAACAAAAACCTGCCTTCCCAGAAGAAACGAACACGCCTAAAAAAAAGAAAATATGAAATCAATAAAAAATGTATCACCAGACGTCTTATGAGACCAATGTCAAATACATACCGAAACATTTGTAAAACAAGTCCCCGGCTGAACCGTTTTCTTACTCGACAAGAGGGACGCAACAAGAATTGGGCACATGCTCAACTGTACAACGCAGAAATCGGGCGAAATCTACGAAAGTTGATTTTGAGGTTTTGCAATTCCACGCTTTAACAAGATAAATTCCAGTTTTTTCTTTCTTTGTCGGTTCAAACTAGCACCAAGATAAAATTTGCTACGAGGCATCCAAAATTAATTTCAGTTCAAACACTACGAAATTTAATACTAGATTCTGACAACAAACTCGGCAGACATACAGAACGAAACTATGAAGATTCCTAAATATCAGGGAAAATAACTTCAAAATGCCCCATCTTTGTTTGTAAATTTGAAAACACTTCCTTTTAAGCGAAAAATTTCTTTCCTCACAATTTCCGTCGTTAACTTTACAAATTCAAGTTTTCGTATAAGAACTTCCACCTTTCCACATTTCACGTCAGCTTAAATACTGCAGGGGTGAGATTAAAAAAGTAAATTCGCTGCAGGTTGAACTCATCGAGGAAACAAAGAATACTTATTTTTGATGCTAAAAATCCAACGCTGTTTTCTCAATACTTAGCACGGCAAATTTGCGTCACAATTGATGAAGATTTAGGTTTCGAACGAGTCAGAAGAACAGAGTACCATGCTGCAAAAAAAAAAATTAGGGTTATGAAATGCCCTCATTCATTTAGTTCTGCAGTTTGCACGAAAATTGTTCTTTTCGGTTATTGATTAACAACCTGCTTCAAGATACGGCGGGAGGAAAATATAAAAAAGATTGCATTTTAAGAAATTACTACTGCATCATCGACGGGAATTTCACCAAGAACTAGTCCAGTCGAACGAAAATCTATCTTGACTGCGTTTCTTAAAACGAACGGCCATTTCTCTGTCCTCAGTACCAATGTACAGTATTTCAGAATGCCACCATGTCTTGGCGAAACCCCCTTTTATTCCAGGAAGAAAACGTTTGCCCAGTGAATCCTCTCAACAGGAATGCGCAAAACAACTGCAAGCATGGAGTCACAAAAACTCGTGAAACAACCTCCGCATTCGCAGAGCAGAGAAAAAAGAATTAGGATTCCGAGAGAATGCCCATAATTGAATAGCAAACAAAATCAACCGTTCACTTCCACACACCTGAAAAAAAATTTGTTTCTGCTCACTCAACGTACGGCAAGAACTAAATTATTTTGCGGACGAAAATTTTTTTATTCCACCTGAATTTCCCCACAGGTCGACCTCTTTCCGCTGAATCTCTCCGCTTTTCCCGGGAGAACGGAAAAAACTGCAATTTCGTTTAAAAAACTCAAACTTTCTCGAGATATAACACGGCAAGCATAGTATGAATGCTCAAAGTTCGTCACCCAATAACCACCGAAAACCCTCGGGCCTCAACAAAACCTTCAACCACAGAGAACTTCAATTGCCCTTTCTCTGAACATCCTCAAACGTTGTTGGGGAGAAAAGCTTCACTCCGATAAGGCAAAAAACAGAGTGACAACGGCACGATCATGGCACCAACATCCTCATAAGGCACTCGTCAAGAAAATGTTCCAAATGAACAGGGAGAGAGCTGGGACATATCTTTTTTTTTTTAGCTCGGGATGCGGAAACGGCAGGCACTTGAAACTTCAGAAGGCCACGGTTCTCTTTCAATGCAAAATAATCTCTTCCCCACAAAAAAAAAAACCGGACGCTTCGACGTTACACTTCTGAGGACTTCATGCATTCACTCGATCAAATCTTGGCGAAACGCAGAACCCGAATACGAAAATCGACCTTTCGCTCAACAAGGAAGCTCGTGCACGAAAAAATAAAAACCACTACACGCGCTAATTACCCACTTATTTTTCTTTTGTTGTTGCCCCGAAACCCAATCATAAAAAAGGCTCCGAAACCCATCATTTGACATATGAATGCCGCTGTTTTGTTGGGACAAAATTTTCGACACACAGAGAACTCCCGAGTCATCACAAATCAGACGGACACGCCTTTAACCCTGCGGGGACGCGAATACTTTCAAGTTTTTGTTCCCCCGTCTCGAAAAAAAAAATCACTCCTTGTACTTGCTGGGTCAGGTTCTGAGCAGATCTACGCCCCCACCCCCCAAAAAGTTCACAAAATAACTCGTCAATCTCATGGCACAGCAACATCAAAATTACACTCAGATCTCTGCAGGCTAAAGTTCGGTTTGTACAGCCTCAGCCGTTGTACAAAGCAGGCTCTTTTCAAGGCACAGGCAAATGGACACTTGATTTCTTCGTGAAAAAGGCCAACATTTCTCCTTTTGAAAGATTTGAAAATCTGAAGGGCAAACAAGCAGAACTAACGCTTCAAACATTGTTAAAATCTTATTACTGGTTCAAATATGTGTTTCCGTCCTAAAAACTTCCAACAACTTAACTTTACACAAACGGTTCAATTCTCGGCAAACTATGGAGATCAAAAAATTCAGTCGTTCTACTGACAATGCCAATAGGTGCTCTTCATCCGAATGTTCTCAAAGCGAGGTGGCAAACACGTGAGAGACAAGCAAGACGAGTTACTAGATAAGGCGGCATAAATCTCAAAATCTTTTATAAAACTGTATCGACTCAAGCAAAAGGTTTTAAAAATACAGCCATGGAAGAATTCAGGATCCCACTCATGAGCACGCTTAAGCTCGATCAGTTGCACACCGCAAAAAAAGCAACACTCAGCATCAACGAACGATTTTTCGTAAGAAAAAGAAATATGCGTTGAACATTCGCGAGAGTCACTCGACAGTAACAAAATCCTCCGTTAAAAAAGCTAAATTAAACTCTTCCCCTCGTTTTCCATCTCCCGAAAACAAAAATCTTTCAGGACAATCCCGAAGTAAAAGAAAAAAATATCTTTCAGCGCAAACTCCTCATCATGGAACACAACAAAAAACTTTGAGCGTCAGACACCGAGACGGTAACAGAAAGACCGGAATTTGAAGCAGGATTTTGGCAAAAATATTTTTCTTTGGGTGAAGAACAATGCACACATTCTTTGTTCGACTTCCAGGCAGACAAAAGAGGCATCATTGCAAACGTAGAACCATGAAAAATTCAAATAAGCTATTGTAAAAAGTCTAAAAACAATAACAAAGCTTAATAAAAACAAGTAATTTATCAATTCTAGATTCCGCGACGTGATGTTACGACTTCTCATGGCACCATGACAAGCACGTAAGCTCACGTGCGTATTTTTTTCCACGTCATTGGTTTGACTCGATTGATTTATGTAATCCAAGACCCAAACAAAAAATGTCAAATAAAAAAAGGGAACATTTCTTCGTTTGATGAAAACCAATGTGCGATATTACCTTCAAGTACTGTATACTATTTCTGTAATAAACACGGGAAAGCTGAGCCTAGACCCAGTTCGCAATTATGATGAAAAAAGATTAGCTTTTAATGCGTGTGCTCTTAACCCAAAAGAAATACGTTGGCCAAATATTGCCTCAATCTGAACCCATACCTCGCGCACGGTGACGGGGTTGGAAATGAAAAAAAAATGAAATAAAAAATTCACCAAACCTCCCGTCGGCGAATCTCACACGACATGCTTGTCCTGATCCCCCGTGGCCAAAGTAGAAACTTGCGGCTTTGCCACAGAAACAGGCATCGGGAACTGGAAATGATGCGGGTGCACGAACCTCGGACTGACCGCCAGCGGCGACAACGAGCTCCAGAAACTCAGACTCGACTGCGGCGGAAACGGACTCGGAAGCGCTGAAGGCGGAAAATGTGACTGCGCGAGCGCCAGAGTCGCCACGGCGGCAGCAGCCGAACTCGAGCTCGTGATCGGCGAATGCAACGAACCAAAAACGTTGGCGAACGCGAGCGGCGACAAAGCATATTGCCCATGTCCCGGACTCGCCATGGGCCCGGGTGTGTTTAGCACAGACGGAGCCATGATCGAGTCAATTGACAAGGGACTCGGCTTCACTTTGCCCTTCGCCTTGTGGCTCTTGCCGCCATCGTTGCTGCTGGTGCTGAGTCTTGCTCGTTTTGTAGGTTCCAGCGGCGTTGAGAAACAACCAGACTTTCCTCGTTTGCGATCCTCGTCTTCGTCCGCCTTCCCGCGCTGCTTCACTAGCTTCCGCTTCTTCTTTCTCTTCTTCTCCTTACTGCTGTCGTCGTCTCCGCAATCCTCGGCTTTGCTATTCTCACAGTCGACAGTTTTCAAGTCGTCTTCCTTGTTCTCAACGTCCACATCAGGGTCCTCCTTGTTGGCAACGGAGGACAAGGAGCCCACGCCGCTGGATGACGAGGAATTCGACAGGGTACGTGATTTTCGTTTCTTGTCAACAGGCGGCAACGGAATGACGGGAACTGCGGGCTCGGATATGAATATACGAGGAGTTCGAAGCTCGTCCGAATTGCCATAATCTTGCGTCAGAGTTTCAAACCGTTGTGACCCGAAGCCCGTCGGTGACGGAGACATAATTGCATCGATGCTGAAGCTAACCACGCCAGGCGTAAGTTTTGCACTTGAAGGACCTGCGAATATGAGAAGAAATAATATAAAATACAGTACATCCACAGCAGTTTATCAATAGAGCGTAGGGAATTTTAAAATAAATCTGAAATAGAATTACGAAAAATAGTTTGAGAAAGCAAAGTGGATAAGAGAACAATCGACCATTATTGACGTCGCAGTGTCTCATGAACGGTTGCAGAAGGTCATTGAAAATGAGGAAAATTAAATTTTATTCTGTTCTTAGTTCCGATTATGTGAAATGCTCATCAGTTTCAGCGCATGAAAACGCGATTGGAGAGCTAAAATACAAGGGCAAAAAGAGATTTTCAGTAGGAAAAAAAATGCAGGACTGGATTAAAATTAAGCAAATGGCAAAGTTTTGAAGACATGATATTCAAAGATAAAAATAACTAAGGCAACCTTTATCTAAACCTTCGTGCGAAAGGACGCGGCTTTTTTCTTCAGTTTTGCAGTACTGCATTATATTTTAATGAAATGAAATTCCTCCTTTTTCAACATGATAACGTTCCTTCCTTCATCCGTCCAGAAGTTCCTAAGTTGATCTGTTGTTTTCTGGCCCACCCTTCCCTCGACGATTCGGTCATGAGATCCATACGCGATTTTTCGCCAATTGACGAAAACTAGAAACGTGGAGATGATATTCGGCAAAAGCAGAAAAATTTAATTTAGAATTATTTTTTCAAGCACCATTTGAAGTATAAAAATCATGTCGAACTGAAATCTAAAATAGTTCTACATGGAATTACATAATACCGTTAAATAGTTCAGAATAACCGACAATAAAGCATCCAAAAAAAACATGGTAGCTATAAAATCTGACACAGCCTACCAGTTGGCACAAGGCTGAAGTATTTGACATGGATCCGCCCAGAAAGTTGGCTGATTTTATATTTTTCTAAAACCCAAAAAGCACTATTACATACACTTCATGGTAACTTAATACTAGGCTACGAGAAATAGTGCAGTACTTGCTTGAGGGTGAGCTTCACAAACTACGAAGTACGTATTACACTCAAACATTTCTACTGACGCGGGTACTTCGCGAAAATAAAAATAAAACACTGGAAAAAACAGAATTCAAATGAAAATTATCTTCTGAAGCGTGAACAGAAGGAAATTACTCTACCTTTGTCTTCATCCGAATTTGCGGGAGAATTAGATTTGGAAGTTTCCTCCGTTTTTATACGAGGAATGCTCAGATCCGTCGGCTTGATATCCTCGGAATCTTCAGACAAATAGCCCTTATCCGCTCCTTTCCTCAGCTTGTCAACAAAATCGAAGTTGAATATTGTTCCTTCCACTTTTCTTCGGCACTGTTGCTGGTCTTGCTTCACTTGCATTTCTCTCCGCTCCTTCATCTCCGCTTCCAGCTGTCTCCGTTTCGCCTCATCCTCTTCCGATTCAATCCTCCTCTTCTCCTCTCGTCGTTGCTGCTCCATAATTATCTGCTCTTGTTGAAACAACATATTTCGTCTCTCCATAACTTGTTGTTGATGACGATTGTGTTCCGTTGAGGTCCAAGATGGAATAGATGCATTCGAGAGGAAGCCTCTGCTCGGAGCAACGGCGTAGTGCATGGCAGCTGCTGATGTGGACACGGCGGGAGCACAAGATTGCGGGAAAAACTGAGGATTCTGATAGCCAGACTCTGCACTGGGATGTCTTTCCAGTTTTGGGGGAGCTTCACAGCGCGGAGCTGATTCCCAGTAAGGCCCTGAGAAAGTCGGAATACTCTTCGTTCACTATCATTAATTACTGACATGTTTTCATGTACTTCCCAGAACGGTCGATATCGCCAATATCAAAGAAACTATTAAAAATAATAGTTTCAGAGGAATTAATTTCCGAATAAACGCAAAAATGATTTCGAGACGAACCATGATTTTTAGCCCTCGAAACAAAAAAATGCATACTGGCAATCCTAAGATGCAGGGTCACGACCTTCAGAATCTGATGAAAAATATTTCATGATGTGGTGAGAAATTTGCGGCAACCATTTGGAAACGACAAAATATCCTCAAACAAGATCGATGCCAATATTGCCAACAAGCAAAGCCGAAAAAATGTTCATGTTCTTTCAAGTGAAATCAAGATGCTAAGATATACTGCATCATGACATTGCTTACAACATACAAACACGTCATTTCGCAAAAGAATACTGCACTCGAATTTAAAGAAAGAATTCACAGAAAATTTACATTTTGAAGTTAGCATTTCGTAAGCAGTTCAGATCATACTTTCAACTCACCTTTAGTCGTTAAAATATTTTGGATTATTCAAGAAGGTAATATAATTCGATGAGGTCCCGAATTCAGGACGACCCGATGAACTAGCAATTCGCCACTAATTCTAAAATTGGCCAATTTTTTTGCCATTCGGAATCGGAAAAAATACTGTACCGCCTCCACAGCCGCCACTTTGGCGGCTGTCGATGAAAATGGCGGAATTACCTTGTAAGACCTGGAGGCAACCCTTGGAATTAATGCCACCTTGATTTCAAGAATTCTAAGGGAAAAGCTGAGCTACAACCAAAAAAAAAAAAAACTGCAGGAAGGGCGCCTCATCTGTTGAGTGGATAGCAAAACTCTGCCAGGGCGAATTTTACAAAACATAAAAAAAAAGTGTCAAACAGGGCTGATTTTTTTGAGCCAAAGAATATGTTTGTCCTAAAGAATAATTTTTTTCAGCTCGATTTCCATTCCGAGAACTTTTGTTAGAACCCTCGTACATTACTGTTATTAATTGCGTGATCAGAAGAACGAATTATTCCAGGAAAAATAGAACGAAAAGTATGATCATAAATCGATAGGATTTCAAGATTAAGTATGCATCAAATCGACATTTACCCCGTGAAATAGTTCCGGCATAACGCCTTCCGATTCAATTCGATGAATAATACGGTCTCACTCACCGGAAGAATACCCTTGGCGAACGCTATCGTTGGAATCGTCCATTGGCGACTCCACGGAATTCCGGCCCGGAAACGATTGAGAAACTACTGTCGCACCCATACCATCCTCGCCGCATAATCCCATGTGCTCAACTTTAGTGGAACCTTCGAACCTGACAAAGAATAAATTCATCGTCGATTTACAGAAGAACTAGGTGATCCGGTACTCTTTTCCTTTGCAATTGCACATAGCGTGATAGCGGAGTACCTTCTGTGATTTTTTCAAGGCCACTGAGCCATTTCCGGACAGTGAAAACATTAATTTACATTTCAAAAATGTAAATTATGCGCAGGCATGGACACACGGTGCCTCAGAAAAATATGTCAACTTGCAGCTTTTTCAAAAAGTTCGGAGTTTCTCCTCCTAACTTCGACGTTCATTCGCGCGCAAGAATGAACATCGAATTACACAGACTTTCGCACAAGCTCGCTATGTTTTTACTAGTGCGGCATTCCAACGGTTTTTGAGGTTAAAACGTATAATAAAAAATTAAACTTGTCTCACCGATAAACAAACTTCTGTCCCATGACTTTCCGTATGATGCCCTTGTCATAGTAGTATCGTAACGCACGACTCAACTTGTCGTAGTTCATATTTGTTTTATTCTTCTTCAGTCCCCACAGCCGAGCAACTTCCTCCGCATCAATGAGTTTGAATTCGCCGTTCTCCTCGGTGGAAGTCCACGCAATAATATGATCTAAGTTTTGCCCACGGAGAAGGTCTAGCAAGAACTGCCACAAAGTTACATTCCCAGCCATCGCCCATCTGTGGTTCGAGTTGCCTAAAGGATAGATGTGAAACAAATATGAAACATATTTGCCTTTGAATTACAGAGAGAACGGGATACGAAAAAATAATTAGATCAAGAAAATCAACGTAGTGTTTTCTCAAGCCTTCCAGCTACCTAGGAATTCGTAACTACGTTTAGAGTTCCCATTATTCGTTCTTTTGACCGACTTTCTTGGTGCAACGGGATAAATTGAATATAACGAACAATCGAATACAGCGAAAGAAGTATTATACCGCATTTGAAAAATATGAATACCCAATAATGAAGATATACTGTATAACCTACATTCTAGCAAATTTCGAAGTTCAAGACCCGAATGATACTGAAGAAGAGAGAAAAAGTGGCAAAATTACTTTGAAACCGACCAGTTTGTTTCATCTCAACGAATCTATATTTGGGGTCGCCTAATCACTTTTTACAGCAGTTTTAGCAACCCTTAAGAAATATGAATCGCGTACCAGCTCTGAAACAAGCACACTGAAGTTATTAACGACACGATCCATTTCATACAGCGTTCGCAAAAAGTACTTCGCCTTTCATAAGCAGTTAATATTAGTTTGTATCTCCCCTAAGCGATCACCACTGCTTTCCAAATACTGCAATAGTACAACGTTCAAATGAACAAGATGAAAAATGATTGCTGAACAGAGAATACATGAAACGTTTTTCTGAAAGTACGCACCTTTAGAATCCCCACACGCATCCAAAGAATTCCCCCCGCAAACAGGAGGCGCCAAACAGCTGGAACGCATGCTGATCCTCAGGAATTCCGCTCTTTCAACGCATGCACTCGTTCCTTTTTACGTATGGCCGGCTGCGAGGGACAAAAAAAATTTCACACCTCGAGAAAAACGCCCGAAATAAGTACTGCACGGAACTCACATGGGCAATTTGGCGGCAGACATCCCAAATCTGAGGAAGAACCCAACAGACAGAAAAAAAGGAAAAACAAAAGTCACTCGAACACAAAACCAGCAACGTCAGTCGCACGACCAGCAACCTGCACCTGCAAAAAACGAAAAGTTCTTGAAATCGCTCAGAGAATATAAGCAATGAACTTGGGAAAAACTGACAAGACAGACAAGCGAGAGGGAAAACCCCGCGGAATGTCGCGGGGCTCAAGAGAAAAATATTTAATAATGGAAAACAACATTTGCAACCACACATCCTTCGTCGGCTAATACACTCATTCTACCTAAGCACAATTCTACGATGAAGCGTAGGGGTCAAAATTCCTTATGTGAATACCAAGGGAACGCAACTCGAGGGTATCCCACTCGAGAACATCGAACTGACCACCGATCAGCTGCTCCATCCACTAAATTTTTTCGGTATGAAAACCAAATTCCACTTCGCGCGACGCTCTTCATTTTCACACAGAGTTCTGAACGCTCAAGACATCCTCCATATATCACAGCAACTCAAGACCAAGCAAACGGCGTCAGCCCATGTCATGAATCCAAGTCGTCGACACGGATAACGGAATATCGTCTAAAACACGCACAACGCTAACAGCAATTCCTAGACTTCACGGAATCCAGAAAAATGCGTCCAATGAGCTCCAAAGATAAACAACAAACGAAAACAATCGAAACAACTACAAGCATACCAGCAAAAATTCCCAAAGCCCCAAACCAAACAGAAAATCATACGTAGACTACGTCATTCATAACACTGAACTCTCAAGCAAATCTTGCTTGATTCCTTTTCTGCTCGAAGTCTTCGCTAATCTAATGTTCGCATCCTCTGCAAACCTATCACCGCTAAATCGGCCTAAAATTTGTCTTTCGTGAAGCTCAAAGATTGTACGATACTTGTATCAAAATCCCAGAATGATGTTTTACTCGCCACGTCTACCTACCATTTCAGCGGTCTCCTTCCTAACAAAATTCACGCGTCAAAAGAAAACCTTGCCACGGGCAACGACCATCCAACCGCTTCGGGATGCGCAACAGAAAAAAGGCCAAATTGCATCAAGAGCACCGCGACCGGGCGCTCTGATAAACCCATAAGAAGCAAGAAAAGATGACTACAAAAAGTGAAAATCCTGGAGAAACGAGGAGCGCAGAACTGCAACAAATCTTGCTACGATATCCTCCTTCGCTCAGATTTCCCACATTGAATCAAAGCTGACATGAAGATGGCGCTTGAGTTAGATTTTGATACAGCCTTGTGCCCCACCATCCTTCCAAGTCGAATGGGACAAAATCTGAGGAAACATAGGAACAGTCATAAATCATCGATGAACCATCATTAATCTGGATTCGTCTTTGAAGAATACCTTCAGGAGGACCATCTGAGCTAGGCTCCCAGCGAACAACTTTTGGAGGATCTGAAGAGATTGAAAGAAGAAAATGAAAATAGAGAGGGGAAAGTCGAATATAAATTCACGATCAACGTTTCAGACTTCTCACCAGTACTTCCATTTTTGGCTGCTTCTTCGGATGCTTGTAAATCCCTCGAAACTCGATTCCACGCTGAAATATGAAGAAAAATTAAAACCCAGCCACTAAGAAATGCAGAGGTGCAATGATTACCATCTCCCATGTAACGAATAATTTCTTCGTGAATCGGAGAAATTTCGGGCTGCGTCTTGGACTGCAACTTCCTTCCATTAACTGGTTGAAAAACTGGCTTTGGCGACCTGAAAGGCATTCTCAAATCAAAAATCGGAAAACGTGCACCAGGCGTCTTTCCTAAATGTCGGAATTCTACTGCCAGTAGGGCAATATACCCTGCTACACGCAGTACTAAAACGCAATTTACAGCCTGAATGCATACGATAGACAGAAGTACGTACGTCATTCCTTCAGAACTCAGAAGCTCACTATCCGGGCGACGCGTAAGTTCGCGACTAGCCTCAATATTTTCGACTTTTTGATTCCAACCGCGACGTGAATTGGGGGTTCGCGTGGGGCGCACTGTATACATTCTATGCAATACGACGAGATGAAAACTCCTCCCCAGATTCACTCGGAGGAACGTCACAGTTGGGATATAGGGTTTTGTGCTTAACTGCAGAAAAAGAACAAAAACTTTTGGACAATTTTTTGCGGAATACATCATGCATGAGTGGGGAAAAATAACTTCATTTTCCTGATTTGTTGAACACCTAAAATGCAGCAGACGTACACGTGAAGCGGGATCGGCTGTATCACAATTCAAGCAGCGAATTTCTTTAGGTTTACAACGTCTTGAAGCCTCAGTGAATTTTTGCGCTTACCACAGATATCATAAAACGCGATACACATACGCTCTCAACTCACGAAAATACATCCAAGTCAAGTAAAAGTAGGGCTTCAATAGGACATACACACGGCTTCCCACTAATTAAAAAAAATCTTCTGGGATACACTCCATTCGACAAACCCCAGTCAGATTCTGATCGCTAGGCACCAGCCAGCCGACTAACTTCAGAGAATTACGTTACACTCGCACAATTCCTCGCAGTCCGGAACGCTCGGAGCGCCGCCCTCTTACGTGAAAACAAAGACTGAAAAAGAGCTCTCAACAATATGTCTATGAGCTTCGTCAGAAATTTCGGTTATTCGTACACCGAACGGCGTGAATGAATTGAACGCAAACTTTATCCATTAATTGCTTTTATTCGTTTTCCGTATCCATTGAACAAATTGCATCGTGAGTAAATCATTTCCATCACGGGTATCGGTAGAAGTACACGCTTCCAGGCCCGCCTCCTCCTCCGTGGTGCAACTCGCATTCAATCAGTGCTCCAGAGGGATCCGGAAGCAAATCTCCGCCCGCAGGAATGTCGTAAAGGTGGAAATTCACTAAGACGCGGTCATCTGGTGTCAGTGTGAAACTAATCACGTCCCATGCTAATCCTCCGTCAACCGTGGGATTACTGACAATTGAGGAACTTACTCCGTAAAAGAAACCCTCTGTATAAAAAAACAAATACAAATTTCAATAAAGGTTCAATCTACTTTCTTAAAATGTCGCATTCAAATTATATACTCAAGTACATGCTTCATATTTCAAACACAACCAATTTGACAGCAGAATATTCGCTAAATGCTGACACACAGTATCAACGTTGTAAAACGTGAATAGGAAAACTGATTTCTTTTGGTAAAATTTCCAGTAAATGTTCTTACACTGTAAAGTCAAAACTAAACTTGAGGCTCGAGATGCGGACATGATTTTTGCTTGGATCTTGTCTCTATGGTGAAATCTGCATGTTTGATCACATTTTCCCATATATAGACTTTCGTGGAAACATATTCGTTAAATGATAAACGGCCATTGCCGTCATTGGAGATATAGATGCAATTATTTCTTTTGCTCTTCAATTCTTCATTGGTATCTAATAAATGTTTCTTCAACTATTCAGCTACAGAAGGAAACCAGAAAAAGACCTGGATCACAATGAATGCCCTCCAATGAAGTGCATACTGAAGTGGAGTTTACCACATAACCCCAAAGTCACAGAGAGCATGCAAGTGCATATTCAGCTGCTCTTGATCAATTAAGCTTTACTTCAGTGGAGAGGATTCACTGTGATCCAAATATGCAAATATTTTCTTTTTTCAAGAGATATCAACGTTTAGAAAACTTTGATTTTTCCTTAAAAAAATTTCCCTTCGAAAATTAGATTTCTCTCCTTGCGGTGCTGACGCATGAGAAATGCAGCAAAGGAGATGGCAGCACATTGGATGACTCAGCATTAAACATAAATTTATCTTCTCTCCATAAGTCTGCCAACCAACTTGGCTGATGGACACAGTATAAAAATCTATAGTGCATTCCATTTTATATATATAAAAAAAAACTTACGGTCGTCTGGAGCATTTGAAATGTAACTCTGCCACAAAACGCCACCATGACAGTTTGGCTTTAGGTACCCGTGAAGCGTCGGCGAGTTCAGTTGAAGGTGAAGCTTATGACTAGGAAGACAGTAATGCGCCAGCTGCTATAGTCGCATCGAAACACGTCCTGCAGATATTGTAGGCAATACAATTACCCCAGTATTAAAATAATGTTTTAATTGAATGATGAAGCAAAGAAGTTTCTCATGCTAACCTTTCCCTGGAGGAAGCGTGGAAAACCGCGGAAGTCGACAAAGGGCACAGCAATTCTCCGGTTTGCCAATCGCCGTTCGGACTGTCGACGATTTCGTAGTGAACTTGCACCTTGTCGTCTTCGTAAACTCTAACAACTTCGATGTAACTCAATCCAGTTGCTGTACGAAAATTGAAAAGGAAAGCATGAATGAAAAAGTCATTTTAATGAAGGATATAAATATTGATGACAAATGAGCTACCATCAGTGAAGTAACTTGAGAAAGCAATGTGCTCCAATGGACCCCAAGTGGAATCGGCTTGGAACAGTTGGAAGGTGTCGAATCGCCGAACCCCAATCTATGAGAATAAATATCCATTTAAAAATGTGAACATCATAAGCCGCATTTTCATTTTAATTTAAAAGGGCAAATCACAGAACAAGGTTTCTTTTTCTTTATCATTCGCAGAGCAAATAAGGAGTGCCGCAAATTGAAAGACCCTTTTCCTATACATTACAATTTAATGAAACATTTTTCCCTATTTTAATCCACGAAACAAATTACATGAAATGTTCGTCCAGAAGTGATTCAATGTCACAAGTTTCTTTCGAAATTTTTCGGGCATAAATGCTTTTTCGAAGGGTCACAACATTTTAACGACAACAATTCGAACCCAGCTGAAATTAACGCGAGGAAAATAAATTCCGGAGCTCAAGAGTTCAAGGTCTGCATCGTCAATCGTACAGAAGAATCCATCGAGGAATTTTGAACCATTGATAATCCTAATTTTTTCGGTGGGATTCTGCATGGAAATTATATAAACCCTTCGATTCAGAGAGTTTTACAATCATCAGCACTTCAAGAATTTTTAAGCGAACGTTTAAAAACCGAAGAATACCGTGTCATGTTAGAAATGTGAGGCTAATCAGCTCAATTCCCCCGGGTAACTGCATTTTATTTTTTAATCTTATTATTTTATTCGCCGAATAAAACAATCAATAATGTCAATGAAAATTAAAATTTAGAAATCTAATGTTACTCACGGTTAATTCTGCTGGAATCGGTCCAGTCACTGTTTGACAGTAATCTTTGAAAATAACGACTTCCATCTCGTGTCCTTGAAGCGTCGACTCCTTGATGTCATTGTAATTAACGTAAGTTCCGGCTCTTTCGCCTAATTCATAAAAAAAAAATTATGAATAGGCTACATCATATTGAAGATTTCATATGCATTTTTTAAAGATGTTAATTTCATATGCTTGAGATAATTCAGAAATGGATACAGATGAGGCAATGTTTTCTAGAAAAATAGTTAAATAGTTAGCAATAGCAAGACATCGGCGAACTTTCAATAAAATTGCTCTATCTTTTTTAAACTTTGAGATAAAAAAGATTTTTCCCGAAGTCAGCAGTGGTTTGTTTTTCATAAATTTATCCCTTCAAAAATATTTTTCTCGATGTTTTCCGAGTTCAATTTCACTGCCAAATATTATTAATACAGTACATTTTCGGCGAATTAATAATGATGG